AGTGTCATGCTTTAAATCGCATGTGTTCAAACAGAATGTGCTCTTTGAGTAGTAATTTATAGTGTTTTCTAGTAAATCTTGGATAGCTTAGATTTAAATTTGTGATAAAAGATTATTTGATTTCCAGTTATATTTCCTCTAAATCCTGTCTCCCTTATTTCTGTCTTGTCCTTTGTATTGTAATATATTTGCCTGAGTAGATCCTTGAATTTTTAGCTTTAAATCGTGTCATAAATCTGGTGTCTATTTCTATGCATGCGTCTTGTCAGCCTAGCAACTTAAGGAACTATCATAGAAAGGCAAATTTTCCAGTAACTGAGCATACCTTTGTATCTTCCTAATGCATGGAAGAGTATAGTATGTCACACATAAGTGTAATGTTGTCAATATATTGTAATGAATAACTGATGTTTCATTGGAAATGTTTAAACTGACCTGCCACATCACAAGTTACTGTTCTCTTGGCAATCAGCCATCCATGGAACATGGGGACAGATGTCAGTGCTTGCTATACTCAGAGCTTTTGCCTCTAACCATTGCATGCGTGTGTATAATAGATGGAAAATTTAGGATTTGAAAGGAGGGAATGATTGAAGCAGAGCCATAGGCTTTAGATTGAGGAAAAACAGTTTTCTCTGATATGGAAGGCTAGAACTTAGTAAGCACTGCTCTCTGCTGGGTGCCAAACTCAGTACTTGGCCATTTTTTTGCTATATTTAGTCCACAAGCACATCCCCATGAGAAACCAGTTGCTGTGCTTGCCCCCAATTACAGATGTGGAAACTGAAATTTAGATCACATGATGTGCAGAGCAGGTATAAGTTAAGTCTGTTTTGATTCCAAAACCAGGACCATTTCTCCCTTGAGCCTGGATTTTTCAAGATGTTCTGATCTGCTGACAGTCTCCCTCTCAGAGGAAACCTTGGAATTAAAAGCGGTGCCCTGGAAGCAGTGGGGATTGCGGAGTTTTCTTTCTGTCAGTCTAGAAGCTCCCCCTAATGCCTGCTGCCTTTGGCCCTGTGCTATGCCCGCTTCATGCTTCCTGCCTTCCTGGTGGTGCACTTGTGGGGCAGTGCTGCTGCAGGTGCCAAGTGGTGATTGTCCTCAGCAGCTGTGTGTGAGCTTCTCTATGTGGCTGAGCAGAAGTGTAATTTAGTAAGGACACAGGTACAGATCCTCACTCTGTTGCTGATTAGTTCCTGGCCTGGGAGCTGTTCCTTGGCCCAGTGGAACCATGGCTTGCTCTCTTGTAAGTGAGGTAGTGATCCACACAGTAGTGCTGCTTGGAATGGCCCTGATCTGTGCCTGCCCAAAGTGAGATGCCGCGCTTTCACCAGCAGCCGGCCTCAGAGCTTACCTCTGTTCAGTGGACTTCAGTGTGGTTTGGATATTTTGGTTTTGGCAGTAAGAATTTCTCAGCAAAGGAAGCAGTCTGTTGACTTACACTCAGACACTGTAGCCTCGTCTTGTTCACTAGTCATCTCTCCTCAGCATGCAGCCTGGTGACTTAGAGGAGACTTGCTCTGGGCTGGCTATGAAAATTAGCCTAGCAATGAGTCTAAGGACAGCAAATATGGACCAGACAAAGACTGGTATGGGATGGTTACTTTTACACTTTAGTTTTACCTGGCAGAGCGAGGTGACTTCTTGGCACTTGTAGAAAGGTCTGAGACAAGGCAGTGGGTCCTAGCCTTGGGTTTCCTCTCACAAGAGAACAGAGGCAGAATGAAGGCCTGGTTCAATGAGCCTAGAATGCTCTGGGCAGAGCGGGGCCAATGTAGGGGAGTCTTGGTGCAAGAATCTCTTTTTGTGGGTGGAGCATAAGTATAGTGCCTTACCTCTTCTTTTTTCTTTTCTATTTTAAAAAATGATTGTTTTAACCTGAAATTTTAAATGATGCCTGGTAAACAACATGGTCTTAAGTTTGATTTTTGGGTCCCTCCCAAAAATATTTTTGAACTTTTATGATTCTTGTTAGTAATTTCAAGCATGATGGCCTTCTTTAGAGATGAGATTGCTGGACGTTAAACACGGGGCCTTGAACATAATAAGTAAGCATGCTCTGATTACCCTAGCCCACAGCAGTCTTGTTTTGTTACTACAATTAGAAATGAGAGTCAGACAAGGTGGTATATGCCTGTAATCCCAGCACTCAGGAGGCTGATACAGGAGGACTGCTGGAGTTTGAAGCCAGCCTGGACTACAGTGTGAGTTCATGGCCAGCCAGAACTGTATAATGAAACCTTATCTCAAAAAAGAGAGAGAAAGATACAGAATTTGTCTGTTTATCTGTTAAGATTATATCATATGTTATATATCCTAATTTAAGATTGTATCCTAAGTTAACATTGTATCCTATGTGATTTTAGACTTGCAGCCTCTAGAACTGTCAGAAATAATTATCTGTTGTTTATTAATACCCAGCCTATGACTATGGTAGTTTTTTTTTTTTTTATAGTAGCTGGAAGTGACTGGGAGAGGGAGACTGCTAAAAACATAAAGCCTCCTCATCTAGATGAGCATGAAACTAGATTCCACAGTGCTTAAAAATAGATAATACTAAGACATGCTTACAGAGATGACTACTCACAAACAGGTGCCTATTTCACTCGATCACAAATGGGTGGAGAATCTGCCAAAACTGCCAAAATAAGTGAGCATGATACTTAGAGACAGATTAACATCCATAGTAACAGGGACTGGCGGTAAAACGAAGCAGGTATGACAAAAAAACAACTTGGAATCTAGTAAATGAAACAGACCTTAGCTAGAATGATACAGTCTGTTGTGGACATGGTCAAAGACGGAGCATTGGCAGTAAGTCACCAAAGGTGAGCCAGATTGCAGCAAGAGAGGCAAAATGAGAAAAATTCAAGGCCCTCAATTCAGGCAGGCCTAGAGGCAGGTCCACCTATTGATGTGATAGGTGTGTGAATAGAATTGATTTGATTTTTGACTTAGAGTAATTAGAGTCTACTTTTCTTCTACCTGCCCCAGAATCTTTCTGATAAAAGATTCCATTAGAGAGAGGGCACACTCTGTCAGGAATGGTACTTATTAGGTGACCTGACAGTGAGCTCTTGCTTATCACCATGGCCGATGCCAGTTAGTACCTCGATCAGGGCCGTGTTGGCATCTACAGGAGAAATCTGTACCACAGGGAAGAGCTCACACTTAGTAGAGAACATGACAGAAGTCTAGATGGCCGGCTGGCCAATACCCTTTCCCCTACTGCTTCGCATCCACAAGTCCCATTCCTGAAGGTTGGCTTTGGGCCTATGAAGATGTCTCAACACTGGCTGGAACTCTGTCAGGTTTTAAGACACATTTGGATGATTTTTACCTGGTTGGCAGGCAGGAGCAAGCAGACCCTATGTTAGTGGCCTTGGTGAGGGGGCATTTGAGTGTGAGGAGACAATCCTGCATGGCAGGTCCAGGGAGCAGAGCCTGTGTTGTTGGCCTGGGGAAAGGACCTTACCTTGTTGGCCTGGGGGAAGAAGGGGCCTTCAGTTGGTCTGGATATGAGAATCATGTGTTGCTAGCTGGGAAAGAGAAGGCTCTGCTGGCCTGGGGAGAAGAATCTCTATGTTGTTATCTGGGGAGCCACCATGGTTTTGGCCTGGTGAAGGGCCCTGTGTTTTTGGCTGGAGGAGTCCGCTATGCTGAGCTGGGTGGGGGAGGCAAATAGAAGTCCTAATTCAAATACCATGGACTCCTGGCCTTATTCCTGATATTTCTTGAATAGATAATTTCCTCATTTGCTGTTATCCTTTGAGCCATTTCCAGAAGCTTTGAAGAGTGGTTTTCATCATTTCAGGTCTCCCTGGGGAGCAGGCTGCAAAGTTCCTGCCAGGCTAAGTTCGGCTCACCCACAGTCGTGATTTTTTGGAGAAGAAAAACTAGTTTAAAAGAAATTTTGCTCTTTTCCAGTGCTTTCTGTGGCAGTGTCATCTCTATTTCTCTCTCACTTTACTTGCCCAATCTCACTGTGGCTCACATAGGCACATGAGTCGTGGTCTGGTTAAAGCAGACTTCATGGGCCTGTGCTTTCTGTGATGAGATTGACTGTGAGCTGCAAACAATTGCTACCAGTGCCCTGTAAGAGCATCGCCTGTTTTAAACTAGCTTTCTAGAATTATCTAGCTCAAGCACATGTTCTTTTGAAGGACTGATTATTTATCCGGTAGATCTTTATTCTTGTCTTTTAAAGGAAAAGCACCTAAAGCCAGAAACACTGGCAGATGATTTTACTTATTTCAGAGTTGCTTTGCTCCAAATTCACATTGCTCAATTCAGTTCATTTGTGGTATCTGTGAACCGGTGTCATAACACAAGGTTTAGCACAGAACAGTGCTGCAGGACTCCTGCAGCTTCTCTCTGCCTTTTGCAAGATCTCCTACACTGCTGCATGCATAGTGTTTTGAGAATGCCTTTACAGAGAATACAAAAGGCTTCCTAGTCCTAGCAGTAAGCCCATTCTTCATAGTTGACTTTGCTCCAATGATTCAGGGAGACTATAGGGACTAAGGGAAAATCAGAATAGAGAGGGGACTAGAATTGGATAGTGACCTTCTAGGCCTTTTTTCCTTGATTTCTCTAAGGGCTCTAGGTCTCAGATCTGTGACTGACTTACAAATGTCTTCAGATGCTTCATTTTGGGATGCCAATTGAGGAAAATGCTTTTATTTCCTGAAGTCTAAAGAGGTGGACCTGGACACTCATTATCCCCTGCTGTGCTTTCAGCAGTGCCAGGGTGGAGGGAAGTCAGATGGCCTGGGTTAGACTCTCATTCCATTGGGAATACCTATGTCACCTTACGGCAAATGGTTGATCTCCATTTCTCTGGAGGAGAATGGGAATCCTTTGCCATGTATCTTGAGATTGGGCTGCCTGTGTGTGTGGACTATGAGGCCAATGGAAGTCTTGCTTAAGAGGTTTTTTTTTTTTTTTAATTTATTCATGTATGTGTTGATTTATTCCTTTACTTTGCTGCTTTGCAGGAGTCTTCAACGCTTGCAAAAGAGCTCAACATTTGCAGGGAACAGCTGCTTGAGAAGGAAAAAGAAATTGCTGAACTGAAAGCAGAAAGGAACAACATGAGGGTCAGTGGAGCTCTGGTTTAAGTGTTTTGTGCTTTTTCCTTCTGTAGAGTGTGTTCAGTATTAAATGTTGCTTAAAATTTGTGATAGAAGGCAAAGCATGGTGGCATATGCCTTCAATCCCAACATTCTGAGCCAGGAATGTCTTGAGTTAGAGGTCAGCCTGGGCTAGCTAGTAAGTCCTCAAGCCAGCCTAGACTACAAAATGAGACCTTCTTGTTAATAAAAGAAATTAGTGATGGAAATTCATGACATTCGAATACAATTGAGGGAAATTTACCTAACTCTACTGAATTGTAGGAATTTGAACTTGTTTGACCATGAGATTATGAAGGATTTGAATGTGAAATTGAAGGTGCTCTTTACACGCCCCCTTTGGCCTGGTTTCAGCTGCTCCTGGAACATCTGGAGTTCCTTGTCTCCAGGCATGAACGCTCTCTCGAAACGACTGTGATGAAGCGGCAGGCGCGGTGTCCTGCAGGTGTGTCCACAGAGATGGAAGTGCTAAAAGCACTGACATCCTTATTTGACCACCACAAGACCCTGGACGAAAAGGTACATGAGCTACACTAGTGGTTCTGGGTTCTTACACTTGCTGGGTTCATGGCAGACTTTGCATGTGTTTGTTTACCTTTAAGGTTTGCTAAGTTTTTGAGTTCTTGTAAACAGACTTTCTGTATTAAAAGGCAATGTTCTGCATAATCAACAAACACTAACTGGAATGTGAGTCTTCAAGTGATTATTTCTGAATATTGACTGCCCATTAAGAACTGGATAGTGTTCATTTATTTAGGAACAAGAGTTTCCCGGCCTTAATATTTAAAGCCATTAACAAGGACATTTTCTTGACAGTACTAGCAATGAAAGACATTGAAAGTACTTTATTATATGCCTTTCATCAATATCAGGATAACTATATGGAAAGTGTGCGTATGCATATAAAAACTCAACTCTTTTCAGGTGCGAGAGCAATTACGTGTAGCACTGCAAAGGTGCAGCTTGCTGGAAGAGGAACTGGGCGCCACGCAGAAGGAGGTAATTGTGGGACATCATCCTAGCCCTGAAAAGGGAAAATTATTTTATTTTAATCTCTTAAAAAAACAGTGTGAAGCCTGTAATACTTTTGGATTAGATTTTTATTTCAGATTGCAAGAATCTCTAAATTTGTTGTCAAGCAGTCAGTACATTCTGTTTCTAGTAATCTGGTTCTGCTATGGATGGTCAGCTTTGGCATGTACTGTCTTTTTTATACTATGTTCAGCACTGTAGAATTATGTTTTTCCAAATGGAATTTTGCTGTCTTTACTCATTACTCTTCCATAAGTTATTGTAGTCTCATACTCAGTTTTCGATTGTAGCTAATGACTCTTAAAAAACAGAATGATCAGAAAAAATCACCAAGAGATGGAGTGCTTGACCATGAAGAAGAAGAAACACCAAGCACTAGTGGAAAGGTAAGTCCTTGAGATCTCTCTTTGTTCTGTTGCTGATTTCTTATATTTTGTGGTTCGTGTGTGATGCTGTTTGGATGCTGTTGCTGGAATGGCCTGCTTCCAGCTAAAGTGATTGTTGAGAGTCCTATCATCCAACAGATGGCATAAATCCATTTTGATAGTCCCTATGTTCAAAAGTATTTTATTTGGTAGTACACTAAGGTTATTTAAGAGTGTCCATTTTACCCATCAGAGATCTTCTGCTGGCTCCTTAAGCCATGAGGAAGACCTTGCCAAAATAATTGTGCTCCAAGAAGTCATACACAAACATTCAAAAGAGCAGAGTCAGATGAAGGAGCTCCTGGCTGCACTTTCCAGCCATGTGTCAGAGCTGCAAGAAAATCTTGACACAGCAAGAAAGGATCTCATCAAGTCTGAAGAGATGAACAAGAAATTGGAACAAGATGTTCATGAAATAAGTGATAAAAATTACAGGGTTGTCATAATGTTGAGTGCTTGGAGTGTTAAGGATAATGATTCCTTTTTTTTTTTTTGTCCTTTCCTTGGTCGGTTATTTTCAGCATTTGCACTGTTGAATGAGTATAAATATGAATAATACAACACAGTATTGCTGTCAGATCGTGACATACCGCCTCCCCCTGGTTGAGAAATTTCTCCTTTTCTGTGGTCTTTTAAAAAGGTAGAGGAGAACTTGCCCAGCTTTTCCCACTTAGTTTATGGGAGTTTGTCCTCCACCCTCATGTGGATTCTTCATCTTTGCAGCTTCTTGGCTGTCATCATGTGTTCTTCTTTATGTTCAGCTTCTCAAGTACATGCACTCCTTAAACAAGGATTTTCAGTACTAGTTGTGCTTTGAGTTCGCTAAAGAGATGTGAGTATTCTCTGGGACTGTGGCAAAGGGAGCATTATCAGGTGTCTTCTAATTTTTTCATATTTTTCCTCAGGCACAGAGGTATGGTATTGAATTTTGGATGTTACATCAGCTCTAATGTGTGAATAGTTTTTGGGTAGTTTAGGCTTTGTGCTTATCTTGCCTATGAGATCTCATTTCATGTGAAATTGTATTTACAACATTCTGCTTTGCACCTGTACTTGTATCTTTGGTTTTATTTCTCTTGCTATACATTTTACTTTTTAGTGGCATTCTTAGCCAGAATATAATCAAATTAAGCAAGTCATTTTAGTGGAATGTTCAGTGTCAGCAGTCTGTTTTGTGACATTTGGATGTATTTATAATTTATACTGTTAACTAACTGAGCAATATTTTTCTTTTCTTTTCCTGTTTTTTTTTTTTGGACATATTGGGTTTGAACCTAGGGTTTCTCACATACTAGGCAAGCACCAAACCACTCACCAAACCATTTTCTTTTCTTTTTTCTTTTCTTTTGGTACTATGAATTGAACTCATGATGTTCTGCTTGACAGGCAAGTGCTATGCCGTGGAGCTATATCCCTGACCCTTTTTCTTCTTTTCAAACTTATTTTATTTATTAGTGTTTGGTTTTTTGAAAAAAGGATCTTGTGGTGTAATTCAAGCTGGCCTTGAACTCATGGCAGTTCTCCTGCCTCAGCCTCTCACATGCTGGGATTACAGACATGTGGCACCAAGCCTGGCATTGTATTTTCATCTTTTTGACAATCTCATTTATCAGTTGTGTCCTTCTTTCCAGTATTTGTAAAAGAAGTGCAGCAACACATCTGTAATCCCAGCTACTTGTGGACTGAAGTGGGAGGTTTGCCAGTTTAAGGTCAGCCTGGGCAATTTAGGAAGACACTGACTCAAAAAGAGCTGAGTATCCCAAGCATAGTGGGTGAACCCTATCTTTCTAGCTACCCAGGAGACTGAGGCAGACAATCATAAGTTCAAGGGTAGGCTGCCCAATTTAGCAAGACCTTGTTTTGAAATTAAAAGGAAAAAAATATGGGACCATAGCTCAGTGTTAGAGTACCCCTGCCTTCTATTCCCAGTACCACACACAACCACGGAGGAAAACTCTTTCTTCCTGGTTCTCTAATTCAGCATGCTGGCTGACGGTCTGTGTGCTTCCATTGTTGGTTTTGATTTCTTATGCCACCCTTGTGTTTGTTTTATTTTAACCATCTCCAGATTCAATTCTAATCCAGGCCTCAGGTCCCTATCAATTTGTAGTTTGTCCATGAAGCTCCCCTCTCAGCCCCTCCCCATTCTGTGATGGCTCTGCACAGCTAACCAGGCAAGCACGTGTGAGTCTGAGCTGGATTATGACTGATTAGTGGGGCTTGGGGTTTTTGTCATTAAAAATGTATTTTGCTCAGTAGTGATCAATTATATTTAATATATAATTTGTCAATGTGGTTACAAGCAAGATATAATTGGTTGAATGTTTTTCCTTAGATTGTACAGGATCTGCATGATTCATGAGTGAAGTATTTCCTAGGTTAAAAAATAATCTGGGCTCACTGCAGTGGCACATACCTGTAATGCCAGCTACTGGGGAAGCTAAGAAGGAGGATTTTAAGTCTGAGGCCAGCATGAGAAGTTTAGCAATGTGCTATGTCAAAATAAAAATATAAACGTGGCTGGCAGTGTAGTTTGTTGAGTGGCCCAGCTGGATTCAACCCTGCATACTGCAGGAGCAAGGGGAGGGGCCACTGCTGAGTGTAAAATTTATGGGAACTTTATACAGACAATACGAATCAGATTTTATTGATTATAATCAGAATTCTAAATCTCATCAACTTATAGGGCATATGCTATAGTCTTTAATGGACTACTTTTTAATTAAAATGCCTCCTATCTAGTACTGTGCTAGCTTTTATTGTTACGTATTTTAGGATGCCTAGCTTTCTTTCTTTTTTTTTTTTTTTCCATTCCATTCCACTCCTTTGTATTCCACAGTATCTCGGATGGAATCTAGGCCTGTGCACTGAGATACACACATGACCCTTTTTTTTTTCAGTATTATTTTTTATTGTGAGACAGGATCGTGCTAAATCACCAAGATGAGCTCAAACTTGGCAGCCTTCCTGCCTCAGCCTACCAGAGTGCTGTGATTTCATGTGTATGCCACTGCACGAGGGATAAATGATATATTTTAGGAAGTTGTAAATCATATTCTAGGTGAAGATTTTACTGCATTGCACAAAAAATGATTAACTAAAAATAAGTTTGTTCAGTTTTTTGTGTTTTTCTGAGACAGGATGACACCATGCAGTTCAGGCTGGCTTTGAACTCATGTAGTGCAGGTTGGCAGTTCTCCAGGCTTAGCTTCACAAATGCGGGGATTACAAGTCTGCACCACCATGCCTGGCTCTTCAGTTTTATAATAGATGTTGCTGTAACATCCTTGGCATCATGGGAATATTAGAGAGTAGGTGGTTATCAGGGCCCTTTGTTCTATACAGTGTCTTGCTTTAAATCGCATGTGTTCAAATAGAATGTGCTCTTTGAGTAGTAATTTATAGTGTTTTCTAATAAATCTTGGATAACTTAGATTTAAATTTGTGATAAAAGATTATTTAATTTCCAGTTATATTTTCTCTAAATCCTGTCTCTCTTATTTCTGTCTTGTCCTTCATATTGTAATATATTTGCCTGAGTAGATCCTTGAATTTTTAGCTTTAAATCGTGTCATAAATCTGGTGTCTATTTCTTTGCATGCGTCTTGTTAGCCTAGCAACTTAAGGAAACATCATAGAAAGGTAAATTTTCCAGTAAGTGAGCATAGCTTTGTATCTCCCTAATGCATGGAAGAGTATAGTATGTCACACATAAGTGTAATGTTGTCAATATATTGCAATGAATAAGTGATGTTTCATTGGAAATGTTTAAACTGACCTGCCACATCACAAGTTACTGTTCTCTTGGCAATCAGCCATCCATGGAACATGGGGACAGATGTCAGTGTTTGCTTCACTCAGTGCTTTTGCCTCTAACCATTGCATGCATGTGTATAATAGACATAGAATTTAGGATTTGAAAGGATGGAATGATTGAAGCAGAGCCATAGGCTTTAGATTGAGGAAAACCAGTTTTTTCTGATATGGAAGGCTAGAACTTAGTAAGCACTGCTCTCTGCCAGGTGCCAAATGCTTGGGCATTTTTTTGCTATATTTAGTCCACAAACACATCCCTGTGAGAAACCAGTTGCTGTGCTTGCCCCCAATTACAGATGTGGAAACTGAAATTTAGATCACATGATGTGCAGAGCAGGTAGGAGTTAAGTGTGTTTTGATTTCAAAACCAGGACCATTTCTCCCTTGGGCCTAGATTTGTCAAGATGCTCTGATCTGCTGGGAGTCTCCCTCTCAGAGTAAAACTTGAAAGTAAAAGCAGTACCCTGGGAGCAGTGGGGATTGTGGGGTTTTCTTTCTGTCCATCTAGAAGCTCCCCCTAATGCCTGCTGCCTCTGGCCCTGTGCCATGCCCGCTTCATGCTTCCTGCCTTCCTGGTGGTACACTTGTGGGGCAGTGCTGCTGCAGGTGCCAAGTAGTGATTGTCCTCAGCAGCTGTGTGCGAGCTTCTCTATGTGGCTGAGCAGAAGGGAAATTTACTAAGGACACGGGTACAGATCCTCACTCTGTTGCTGATTAGTTCCTGGCCTGGGAGCTGTTCCTTGGCCCAGTGGAACCATGGCTTGCTCTCTTGTAAGTGAGGTAGTGATCCACACAGTAGTGCTGCTTGGAATGGCCCTGATCTGTGCCTGCCCAAAGTGAGATGCCGCGCTTTCACCAGCAGCCGGCCTCAGAGCTTACCTCTGTTCAGTGGACTTCAGTGTGGTTTGGATATTTTGGTTTTGGCAGTAAGAATTTCTCAGCAAAGGAAGCAGTCTGTTGACTTAGACTCAGACACTGTGGCCTCCTCTTGTTCACTAGTCATCTCTCCTCAGCATGCAGCCTGGTGACTTTGAGAAGACTTGCTCTGGGCTGGCTGTGAAGATTAGCCTAGCGGTGAGTCTAAGGACAGCAAATATGGGCCAGACAAAGAGCGATATGGGATGGTTACTTCTTCATTTCAGTTTTACTGGGCAGACTAAGGTGACTTCTTGGCACTTGTAGAAAGGTCTGAGACAAGGCAGTGGGCCCTAGCCTTGTGCTTTCCTCCCACAAGAGAACAGAGGCAGAATGAAGACCTGGTTCAGTGAGCCTGGAAGGCTCTGGGCAGAGCAGGGGCTAGTGTAGGGGAGTCTTGGTGCAAGAATCTCTTTTTGTGGGTGGAGCATACGTATAGTGCCTTACCTCTTCTTTTTTCTTTTCTATTTTAACAAATGATTATTTTAACGTGAAATTTAAATGATGCCTGGCAAACAATGTCCTAAGTTTGATTTCTTTTTCCCTCCCAAAAAGTTTTTTTGAACTTTTATGATTCATGTTGTTGATTTCAAGCTTGATGGACTTTTTTAGAGATGAGATTGCTGGCGGTTAAACACAGGGCCTCAAACAAGCTAAGTAAGTGAGCTCTGGTTACCCCAGCCCCCGACAGTCTTTTGTTTTGTTACTACAATTAGAAATGAGAGCCAGACAAAGTGATATATGCCTGTAATCCCAGCACTCAGGAGGCTGATAAGGGAGGACTGCTGGAGTTTGAAGCCAGCCTGGGCTATCATGTGAGTTCATGGCCAGCCAGAACTGTATAATGAAACCTTATCTCAAAAAAAAGAGAGAAAGATACAGAATTTATCTGTTTATCTGTTAAGATTATATCCTAGCGGGCTGGAAGTTTAGCTCAGCAGCATAAACGCCTGCCTTGTAAGCAGGCAGTCGTGAGTTCGATCCCCAGCACCAATAAAAAGGAAAAAGACAAAAAAAAAATTATATCCTAAATGCTCTCAGCTCACACTAGTCTAGGTGGTCTTCAGTGAGCTGCTACAGGACTATAATGGAATCTGTATCCTTTATACCATTGTACAGATAAATAAATTAACTATTCACCACTTGTTGTTCACCATGAATGTTTCATGAAATCTAGTCCTGCTTCAAAACCCGAAAATAACAACCTTCTAAACAGGGCCTAACCAGACCCTGAAAGAGTTCACATATGCACTATTTCCACAGTCCTGCCTTCCTCAACACATAGGCATACTCATGGGCCATCCCCTAAAAGAAATCCCAGGGTCTGCGTGACCCTCTTTTAATAATATACCCAGGATTATTATTTTTTTTTATTTAAGGAGAAAAAGAAAAAAAAAAAACAGAAAAAGGATACAAGTGATACAGAATTTCAAAAAAAAAAAAAATAAACAGTAGGAAGTCACTAGTTAATAGATTACATACTGTCATCTTAGAAATGGTTGTTCAGATTACAAAATTAAAGCATATAAAGTAGACATTCAAACTGTGAGACTACAAACAATTCTGTTCAATGATCCCACAAAAACTTAGCAATATGGTTATCTATCTTATACACTTAAATATACATGCAATTATATCCTTTAGAGCACTTTCTTTTCCTCTCTTTTTTACTATGACAATTATACATTTTGGGTTTTATTACTCCCACAGTTCTTATTACTTTCTATTTGAAGAGAATAAAATCCAATGTGACATAACAAAACAGAGTCAGTCAAATCAAAAGAATGGATATAGTACATAATATAAAAACGGAAGACAAAGTGATGATCATTGGTTACCATAATGCCTCTTGCTATCTTAAAAAGAATTGCCTATATCATCATTTATAATAAAACTGAAAACATTAAAGAACAAAACCAATAAAAGCAAAACATTGGAGACATTGCAGGACTTCAAAAAAAGATAATATGCAAACCCAAAACCCAGGATTATTTTATGAAGCCACATGGAAGTAGGGTTTTAGGCTGCATGCAAATGCTTCTGCTCATAACATTTGGTCCACACAGTGAGAAACAGAAGCCACACACATGCATATTTGGGTCTTCGCTCATGCTGTCCTTGTCTTGTTTCTTGCTAGAGGTAAAAGTATTGACAGTTTCCCTGAGGCTTCGGCCCCCATTAGTGTTCCTTTGAGTGACATCAGTAACTGAAGATATGTGTCACAGGCTCTTCAGTAATGAGAGTAACTTTGTTAACCTGAAGTGATAAAGTGCAGTGAACAGGCTTCGTTTAGGACTTCACTGTCCCTCAGTAACTATCCTCAGAGGTACCTGAGGTTGTACGGAGAACAGAATCTTGAAGGGGGGGGTGATGCTGTCCCTGGGCTTCCCGGGGCTTCCATGAAGGAAGGCTATAGGTCAGCCTGCCCTGCTCTCTCTCTGCTATGTGGTCCATTTCCCCCAGACAAACAGGCCTTCAGGTTGGCATTCAATTAAAATGAGACTTCTCAGGACAGGTAGAAAGTTTAGCTAATAGGTTTTGAGTCAGTTTATGTTATTTAAAGCCTATGTGATGTGTTTTCTTATAATGTACTGTTAGCTGATGTTGTTTTTTCACTCCTCAGTTGCTAGCTTGCAGAGAAGAAGAACGAGATGACAAGACAACGATAAAATGTGAAACTTCCCCTCTCTCCTCTCCGAAGTCCCTTCAGCTAGACAGGCTGCACACGGGGGCGTTGCAAATAGTCAGCCACGAGGACATCAGGGACATGCAAAAGTAAGGAGCAGGTCTCGTAGGCCACCAGACCCCTGAGAAACCTGCTTGTCTTAGTTTTTAAGAACATCTATTAATCTTTTCCTGTGAGAAAAACCAAGTTTTTAAAGAATTCTCAGCAAGCTCATTTGGTTGTGATTATTTAAACGTTAGACCTAGAATGTGTTCTCCTGTTCTGCGGCTGTAGTGACATCCAGTGGAAAAGGCCATCTGTTTGGGCAAAGTTTAGAAAGAATAGGAATTATTTGAAATTAGCACTTGAGAGAAAAGCTCCATTTCTTCAGATCCCACACACTCACTTCTTTTAAGAACTTTCTTTCTATTCCTGGTGAAGAATTTGCCACACGGATGTGGCAGGTTCTGGATCGTGCTATTCTGTGGACAATCGGTGCCTCTCAGGTACCCTCCCACACTCTGGGTCTTCTAAGCTCTTGAGAGTCCCACATTGTCCCTATCCCTTTAGGAAGCATGTTCCATCAGGAGGCCATGAAGGCTTGGTTACTTATAGACTGTTGTTTTCCACACTTGCTCTTAGAAGCTTTTGTTCCATACCAGGCAGTATGATCAAGCAGGCACATTGGTCTCCACAGTGTCCTGAGAGATAGTACAGCTCTCACTTTGCAGGAGAGCAGGATCCAAGGAACCAGCCTGCAGGAGCTGCTGAGAGGGAAGGTGGAATTCCAGTTCTTCTGGCTTCTGAGACCTTGTTCTCTTTCCTGAGGGCTGAGTGTAAACCTCACTGGCTGAGCAAGGCCCCTGCAGAGGGTGTTCCCTTAGATGTCCAAACCAGGCAGGCTAGAGTACAGGCCTCCTCTGAGCAGGGAGCAACATCAGAGTCTTGGCTTTCCAGACATAGGTCTGTGGAAGCATGACTGGGACCCTGCATTGCTATGCATAGTGTGCTGTGGGTAAGAGACTGGAAAGGATCTTCAGGGAGTTGAAGTAGGAATATTAAAAATGCAGACTGTTTTGGTACATGTGAGTGGACTGTGGAGTTCTAAAGAGGGCAGGTGGTAAAAGTCCATTTTCTTTCCTTCAAGATCAAAAAGTGCCCAGGATGGTCCTGTGAGCAATCCCAATAGCAGTGACAGCAGGCAGGACTCGCCCCACAAAGCCCCAAAGAAGAAGGGCATCAAGTCCTCCATTGGTCGTTTGTTTGGCAAAAAGGAAAAGGGTCGGCTTGGACAAACTGGCAAAGAATCACCAGGACAAGGTGGGTGGGGTTTCGGCAGCTGTCCTAACTGCTGGGAATGGGAGAACGTGAACTTTGTCCTGTGTGCCTGCCGCAGGTGCGCAGTGCCCACGTGGAGTCATGGCTGAGGGTTCTCCAGAAAAGCCCAGTCTGCTTTCTCAGTCTGCCCATGTGTGAACCAAAGCAGAGCAGTGGACATTCATTTGGCGTGAATGAATAACCCTCATAAGTGCTACTTTACACTCTTGAACATTTGTATGTGTTTGCTTGGAAGCTTACCCTTCAGAAATTATTTAGCTCTCTAGCTGCAGAACCTTCAACCTATTTGTGAAACATATAACTTTGCCATGTTAATTTACTGTAAATTTGGGGGCTTTTATGATTTTTTAATAGCTGTTCTTTCTGAAACAGAAACCTCATCTCAGGATGCGTTCCGACATAGCAAATTGGGAGGAAAGGATGAAAAAAATCGTCAACTTCAAAAACAGTAAGCTTTTTGTTATTTCTCCATCTCATGAAACATTTTTCTGAGTTAACAGTCATTCTTAGCTGATTTTAAGTGTAATTTCTAGCTATGTAAATACATTGTCTTTTGAAAGATGAACCTAAAGCAGTGATAGAGCTTTCAGTGATACAAAGAGCTTGCTGCAGCATGCACACCATAGGTTTGCCTCCATTGACCTAAAGCCTGTTTTAAGCCATCATGTCTGGTGAACAGAGGACATTTGGAAATCTTGACTGAATTCACACATGTATTCTCAGTCTACCTTTTCAGAGTTGTCTCCCAGGATGATAGAATGGGTAATAGTTAGGCTTGGCCATTTGAGCTCTGGCCGCTGAATCCTGGTTAATTCTCTAGTTAGCTGTGTGTCTCTGACAAAGTTACTTATCCTGTGCTTCAGTTTTCTCAACTGTCAAATGGCAGTTACAGTTGTTCATACATCATGTGGCTGTTTTTCAGTTCAATAGAATTATATATGTGCATGTATATGTTTTATAACATGGACACAATTCCTAAATAAGTTACAATTACAGTCAGGCTTCTGAGACCTTGTTTTCTTTCCTGTTGACTGAGTGCATCCCTCAGTGCCTGAGCAAGGCCCCTGCAGAGGGTGTTCCCTTATGTGTCCAAACAAGGCAGGCTAGAGTACAGGCCTGCTCTGAGCAGGGAGCACATCAGAATCTTGGCTTTCCAGACACAGGTCTGTGGAAGCATTACTGGGACCCTGCATCACAATGCATATTGTACTGTGTGTAAGAGACTCGAAACGTTTTTTAGGAAGTTGAAGGTAGGAATATTAAAAATGCAGACTGTTCTTGTACGTGTGAATGGACTGTGGATCTGGGAAGAGGGTGGTAAAAATCCATTTTATTTCTTTGAAGCTCAACAGGCTCCCAGGAAGGTCCTGTGAACAATCCCAGTACCAGTGACAGCAGGCAGGATGCGCTCCACAAAGCCCCAAAGAAGAAGAGCATCAAGTCCTCCACTGGTCGTTTGTTTGGCAAAAAGAAAAAGGTTCTGCCTGGACAAACTGGCAAAGAATCACCAAGACAAGGTGGGCCGGTTTTAGGCAGCTGTCCTAACTGCTGGGATTGGGAGAGCCTGAGATTTTTCCTATGTGCCTGCTGCAAGTGTCCAATGCCCACGAGGAGTCATGGCTGAGCGTTCTTCTGACAGCCCAGTTTGCCCACATGTGAAACAAAGCAGAGCAGTGGAAATTCATTTGGCTTGAATGAATAACCCTCTTATATGCTAATTTATACTCTTGAACATTTATATGTGTTTGCTCGGGAGCTTACCCTTCAGAAATTATTCAGCTCTCTACCTGCAGAATCTTCTTCCCATTTGTGAAACATATAACTTTGCCATGTTAATTTACTCTAAATTTGGGGGCTTTTCTTCTTTTTTGTAGCTGTTGTTTCTGAAACACCAAACTCATCTCAGGATGCCTTCCAACTTAGCAAACTGGGAGGAAAGGATGAAAAAAATCGTCAACTTCAAAAACAGTAAGCTTTTTGTTATTTCTCCATCTCATGAAACAGTTTTCTGAGGTAACAGTCATTCTTAGCTGATTTTAAGTGTAATTTCTAGCTATGTAAATACATTGTCTTTTGAAAGATGAATCTAAAGCAGTGATAGAGCTTTCAGTGATACAAAGAGCTTGCTGCAGCATGCACGCCATAGGTTTGCCTCCATTGACCTAAAGGCTGTTTTAAGCCATCATGTCTGGAGAACCAAGGACATTTGGAAATTTTGACTTAACTCACACATTCATTCTCAGTCTCCCTTTGCAGACTTGTCTGCCTAGTGGACAGAGTGGTTAAGAGTTAGGCTTAGACATTTGAGCTCTGGCCGCTGAATCCTGGTTAATTCTCTAGTTAGCTGTGTGTCTCTGACAAAGTTACTTAGCTTGTGCTTCAGTTCTCTAAACTGTCAAATGGCAGTTACAGTTGTTCATACATCATGTGGTTTTTTTTCAGTTCAATAGAATTATATATGTGCACGTATATGTTTTAAAACATGGACACAGGTCCTAAATAAGTTACAATTATAGTCAGGCTTCTGAGACCTTGTTCTCTTTCCTGTTGACTGAGTGCATCCCTCAGTGCCTGAGCAAAGCCCCTGCAGAGGGTGTTCCCTTATGTGTCCAAACCAAGCAGGCTAGAGTATAGGCCTGCTCTGAGCAGGGAGCACATCAGAATCTTGGCTTTCCAGACACTGGTCTGTGGAAGCATTACTGGGACCCTGAATCACAATGAATATTGTATTGTGTGTAAGAGAGTTGAAAAATTCTTTAGGAAGTTGAAGGTAGGAATATTAAAAATGCAGACTGTTCTTGTACGTGTGAATGGACTGTGGAGCTGTGAAGAGGGTGGTAAAAGTCCATTTTCTTTCCTTCAAGCTCAACAGGCTCCCAGGATGGTCCTGTGAGCGTTCCCAGCAGCAGTGACAGCAGGGAGGACCCACTCCACAAAGCTCTAAAGAAGAAGAGCATCAAGTCCTCCACTGGTCGTTTGTTTGGCAAAAAGGAAAAGGGTCCGCCTGGACAAACTGGCAAAGAATCACCAAGACAAGGTGGGCCGGTTTTAGGCAGCTGTCCTAACTGCTGGGATTGGGAGAGCATGCGCTTTTTCCTATGTACCTGCCACAGGTGTCCAGTGCCCACAAGGAATCATGGCTGAGCATTCTCCAGACAGCCCAGTCTGCCCACATGTGAACCAGAGCAGAGCAGTGGACATTCATTTGGCGTGAATGAATAACCCTCTTATATGCTAATTTATACGCTTGAACATTTATATGTGTTTGCTCGGAAGCTTACCCTTCAGAAATTATTCAGCTCTCTCCCTGCAGAATCTTCTTCCTATTTGTGAAACATATAACTTTGCCATGTTAATTTACTCTAAATTTGGTGAATTTTCTTCTTTTTTGTAGCTGTTGTTTCTGAAGCCGAAAACTCATCTCAGGATGCCTTCCAACTTAGCAAATTGGGAGGAAAGGATGAAAAAAATCGTCAACTTCAAAAACAGTAAGCTTTTTGTTATTTCTCCATCTCATGAAACATTTTTCTGAGTTAACAGTCATTCTTAGCTGATTGTAAGTGTAATTTCTAGCTATGTAAATACATTGTCTTTTGAAAGATGAACCTAAAGCAGTGATAGAGCTTTCAGTGATACAAAGAGCTTGCTGCAGCATGCACACCATAGGTTTGCCTCCATTGACCTAAAGCCTGTTTTAAGCCATCATGTCTGGTGAACAGAGGACATTTGGAAATCTTGACTGAATTCACACATGTATTCTCAGTCTACCTTTTCAGAGTTGTCTCCCAGGATGATAGAATGGGTAATAGTTAGGCTTGGCCATTTGAGCTCTGGCCGCTGAATCCTGGTTAATTCTCTAGTTAGCTGTGTGTCTCTGACAAAGTTACTTATCCTGTGCTTCAGTTTTCTCAACTGTCAAATGGCAGTTACAGTTGTTCATACATCATGTGGCTGTTTTTCAGTTCAATAGAATTATATATGTGCATGTATATGTTTTATAACATGGACACAATTCCTAAATAAGTTACAATTACAGTCAGGCTTCTGAGACCTTGTTTTCTTTCCTGTTGACTGAGTGCATCCCTCAGTGCCTGAGCAAGGCCCCTGCAGAGGGTGTTCCCTTATGTGTCCAAACAAGGCAGGCTAGAGTACAGGCCTGCTCTGAGCAGGGAGCACATCAGAATCTTGGCTTTCCAGACACAGGTCTGTGGAAGCATTACTGGGACCCTGCATCACAATGCATATTGTACTGTGTGTAAGAGACTCGAAACGTTTTTTAGGAAGTTGAAGGTAGGAATATTAAAAATGCAGACTGTTCTTGTACGTGTGAATGGACTGTGGATCTGGGAAGAGGGTGGTAAAAATCCATTTTATTTCTTTGAAGCTCAACAGGCTCCCAGGAAGGTCCTGTGAACAATCCCAGTACCAGTGACAGCAGGCAGGATGCGCTCCACAAAGCCCCAAAGAAGAAGAGCATCAAGTCCTCCATTGGTCGTTTGTTTGGCAAAAAGAAAAAGGGTCCGCCTGGACAAACTGGCAAAGAATCACCAAGACAAGGTGGGCCGGTTTTAGGCAGCTGTGCTAACTGCTGGGATTTGGAGAGCATGAGCTTTTTCCTATGTACCTGCCACAGGTGTCCAGTGCCCACAAGGAATCATGGCTGAGCATTCTCCAGACAGCCCAGTGTGCCCACATGTGAACCAGAGCAGAGCAGTGGACATTCATTTGGCGTGAATGAATAACCCTCTTATATGCTAATTTATACGCTTGAACATTTATATGTGTTTGCTCGGAAGCTTACACTTCAGAAATGATTCAGCTCTCTACCTGCAGAATCTTCTTCCTATTTGTGAAACATATAACTTTGCCATGTTAATTTACTCTAAATTTGGTGAATTTTCTTCTTTTTTGTAGCTGTTGTTTCTGAAACAGAAAACTCATCTCAGGATGCCTTCCAACTTAGCAAATTGGGAGGAAAGGATGAAAAAAATCATCAACTTCAAAAACAGTAAACTTTTTGTTTTTCTCCATCTCATGAAATATTTTTCTGAGTTAACAGTCATTCTTAGCTGATTTTAAGTGTAATTTCTAGCTATGTAAATACATTGTCTTTTGAAAGATGAACCTAAAGCAGTGATAGAGCTTTCAGTGATACAAAGAGCTTGCTGCAGCATGCACGCCATAGGTTTGCCTCCACTGACCTAAAGCCTGTTTTAAGCCATCATGTCTGGAGAACAGAGGACATTAGGAAGTCTTGACTGAATTCACACATGTATTCTCAGTCTACCTTTTCAGAGTGTTCTCCCAGGATAATAGAATGGGTAATAGTTAGGCTTGGCCATTTGAGCTCTGGCCGCTGAATCCTGGTTAATTCTCTAGTTAGCTGTGTGTCTCTGACAAAGTTACTTATCCTGTGCTTCAGTTTTCTCATCTGTCAAATGGCAGTTACAGTTGTTCGTACATCATGTGGCTGTTTTTCAGTTCAATAGAATTATATATGTGCATGTATATGTTTTATAACATGGACACAATTCCTAAATAAGTTACAATTACAGTCAGGCTTCTGAGACCTTGTTTTCTTTCCTGTTGACTGAGTGCATCCCTCAGTGCCTGAGCAAGGCCCCTGCAGAGGGTGTTCCCTTATGTGTCCAAACAAGGCAGGCTAGAGTATAGGCCTGCTCTGAGCAGGGAGCACATCAGAATCTTGGCTTTCCAGACACAGGTCTGTGGAAGCATTACTGGGACCCTGCATCACAATGCATATTGTACTGTGTGTAAGAGACTCGAAACGTTTTTTAGGAAGTTGAAGGTAGGAATATTAAAAATGCAGACTGTTCTTGTACATGTGAATGGACTGTGGAGCTGGGAAGAGGGTGGTAAAAATCCATTTTATTTCTTTGAAGCTCAACAGGCTCCCAGGAAGGTCCTGTGAACAATCCCAGTACCAGTGACAGCAGGCAGGATGCGCTCCACAAAGCCCCAAAGAAGAAGAGCATCAAGTCCTCCACTGGTCGTTTGTTTGGCAAAAAGAAAAAGGTTCTGCCTGGACAAACTGGCAAAGAATCACCAAGACAAGGTGGGCCGGTTTTAGGCAGCTGTCCTAACTGCTGGGATTGGGAGAGCCTGAGATTTTTCCTATGTGCCTGCTGCAAGTGTCCAGTGCCCACGAGGAGTCATGGCTGAGCATTCTCCAGACAGCCCAGTGTGCCCACATGTGAACCAGAGCAGAGCAGTGGACATTCATTTGGCGTGAATGAATAACCCTCTTATATGCTAATTTATACTCTTGAACATTTATATGTGTTTGCTCGGAAGCTTACCCTTCAGAAATTATTCAGCTCTCTACCTGCAGAATCTTCTTCCTATTTGTGAAACATATAACTTTGCCATGTTAATTTACTCTTAATTTGGGGGCTTTTCTTCTTTTTTGTAGCTGTTGTTTCTGAAACACCAAACTCATCTCAGGATGCCTTCCAACTTAGCAAATTGGGAGGAAAGGATGAAAAAAATCGTCAACTTCAAAAACAGTAAGCTTTTTGTTATTTCTCCATCTCATGAAACAGTTTTCTGAGTTAACAGTCATTCTTAGCTGATTGTAAGTGTAATTTCTAGCTATGTAAATACATTGTCTTTTGAAAGATGAACCTAAAGCAGTGATAGAGCTTTCAGTGATACAAAGAGTTTGCTGCAGCATGCACGCCATAGGTTTGCCTCCATTGACCTAAAGCCTGTTTTAAGCCATCATGTCTGGTGAACAGAGGACATTTGGAAATCTTGACTGAATTCACACATGTATTCTCAGTCTACCTTTTCAGAGTTGTCTCCCAGGATGATAGAATGGGTAATAGTTAGGCTTGGCCATTTGAGCTCTGGCCGCTGAATCCTGGTTAATTCTCTAGTTAGCTGTGTGTCTCTGACAAAATTACTTATCCTGTGCTTCAGTTTTCTCAACTGTCAAATGGCAGTTACAGTTGTTCATACATCATGTGGCTGTTTTTCAGTTCAATAGAATTATATATGTGCATGTATATGTTTTATAACATGGACACAATTCCTAAATAAGTTACAATTACAGTCAGGCTTCTGAGACCTTGTTTTCTTTCCTGTTGACTGAGTGCATCCCTCAGTGCCTGAGCAAGGCCCCTGCAGAGGGTGTTCCCTTATGTGTCCAAACAAGGCAGGCTAGAGTATAGGCCTGCTCTGAGCAGGGAGCACATCAGAATCTTGGCTTTCCAGACACAGGTCTGTGGAAGCATTACTGGGACCCTGCATCACAATGCATATTGTACTGTGTGTAAGAGACTCGAAACGTTTTTTAGGAAGTTGAAGGTAGGAATATTAAAAATGCAGACTGTTCTTGTACATGTGAATGGACTGTGGAGCTGGGAAGAGGGTGGTAAAAATCCATTTTATTTCTTTGAAGCTCAACAGGCTCCCAGGAAGGTCCTGTGAACAATCCCAGTACCAGTGACAGCAGGCAGGATGCGCTCCACAAAGCCCCAAAGAAGAAGAGCATCAAGTCCTCCACTGGTCGTTTGTTTGGCAAAAAGAAAAAGGTTCTGCCTGGACAAACTGGCAAAGAATCACCAAGACAAGGTGGGCCGGTTTTAGGCAGCTGTCCTAACTGCTGGGATTGGGAGAGCCTGAGATTTTTCCTATGTGCCTGCTGCAAGTGTCCAGTGCCCACGAGGAGTCATGGCTGAGCATTCTCCAGACAGCCCAGTGTGCCCACATGTGAACCAGAGCAGAGCAGTGGACATTCATTTGGCGTGAATGAATAACCCTCTTATATGCTAATTTATACTCTTGAACATTTATATGTGTTTGCTCGGAAGCTTACCCTTCAGAAATTATTCAGCTCTCTACCTGCAGAATCTTCTTCCTATTTGTGAAACATATAACTTTGCCATGTTAATTTACTCTTAATTTGGGGGCTTTTCTTCTTTTTTGTAGCTGTTGTTTCTGAAACACCAAACTCATCTCAGGATGCCTTCCAACTTAGCAAATTGGGAGGAAAGGATGAAAAAAATCGTCAACTTCAAAAACAGTAAGCTTTTTGTTATTTCTCCATCTCATGAAACAGTTTTCTGAGTTAACAGTCATTCTTAGCTGATTGTAAGTGTAATTTCTAGCTATGTAAATACATTGTCTTTTGAAAGATGAACCTAAAGCAGTGATAGAGCTTTCAGTGATACAAAGAGTTTGCTGCAGCATGCACGCCATAGGTTTGCCTCCATTGACCTAAAGCCTGTTTTAAGCCATCATGTCTGGTGAACAGAGGACATTTGGAAATCTTGACTGAATTCACACATGTATTCTCAGTCTACCTTTTCAGAGTTGTCTCCCAGGATGATAGAATGGGTAATAGTTAGGCTTGGCCATTTGAGCTCTGGCCGCTGAATCCTGGTTAATTCTCTAGTTAGCTGTGTGTCTCTGACAAAATTACTTATCCTGTGCTTCAGTTTTCTCAACTGTCAAATGGCAGTTACAGTTGTTCATACATCATGTGGCTGTTTTTCAGTTCAATAGAATTATATATGTGCATGTATATGTTTTATAACATGGACACAATTCCTAAATAAGTTACAATTACAGTCAGGCTTCTGAGACCTTGTTTTCTTTCCTGTTGACTGAGTGCATCCCTCAGTGCCTGAGCAAGGCCCCTGCAGAGGGTGTTCCCTTATGTGTCCAAACAAGGCAGGCTAGAGTACAGGCCTGCTCTGAGCAGGGAGCACATCAGAATCTTGGCTTTCCAGACACAGGTCTGTGGAAGCATTACTGGGACCCTGCATCACAATGCATATTGTACTGTGTGTAAGAGACTCAAAACGTTTTTTAGGAAGTTGAAGGTAGGAATGTTAAAAATGCAGACTGTTCTTGTATGTGTGAATGGACTGTGGATCTGGGAAGAGGGTGGTAAAAATCCATTTTATTTCTTTGAAGCTCAACAGGCTCCCAGGAAGGTCCTGTGAACAATCCCAGTACCAGTGACAGCAGGCAGGACTCGCCCCACAAAGCCCCTAAGAAGAAGGGCATCAAGTCCTCCACTGGTTGTTTGTTTGGCAAAAAGGAAAAGGGTCCGCCTGGACAAACTGGCAAAGAATCACCAAGACAAGGTGGGCCGGTTTTAGGCAGCTGTGCTAACTGCTGGGATTGGGAGAGCGTGAGATTTTTCCTATGTGCCTGCTGCAGGTGTCCAGTGCCCACGAGGAGTCATGGCTGAGCATTCTCCAGACAGCCCAGTCTGCCCACATGTGAACCAGAGCAGAGCAGTGGACATTCATTTGGCGTGAATGAATAACCCTCTTATGTGCTAATTTATACGCTTGAACATGTATATGTGTTTGCTCGGAAGCTTACCCTTCAGAAATTATTCAGCTCTCTACCTGCAGAATCTTCTTCCTATTTGTGAAACATGAAACTTTGCCCTGTTAATTTACTCTAAATTTGGGGGCTTTTCTTCTCTTTTGTAGCCGTTGTTTCTGAAACGGAAAACTCATCTCAGGATGCCTTCCAACTTAGCAAATTGGGAGGAAAGGATGAAAAAAATCGTCAACTTCAAAAACAGTAAGCTTTTTGTTATTTCTCCATCTCATGAAACAGTTTTCTGAGTTAACCATCATTCTTAGCTGATTGTAAGTGTAATTTCTAGCTATGTAAATACATTGTCTTTTGAAAGATGAACCTAAAGCAGTGATAGAGCTTTCAGTGGTACAAAGAGCTTGCTGCAACATGCATGCCATAGGTTTGCCTCCATTGACCTAAAGCCTGTTTTAAGCCATCATGTCTGGAGAACAGAGGACATTCGGAAACTTTGACTGAACTCACATGTGTATTCTCAGTCTTCCTTTGCAGAGTTGTCTCTCTAGATGATAGAATGGGTAATAGTTAGGCTTGGCCATTTGAGCTTTGGCCGCTGAATCCTGGTTAATTCTCTAGTTAGCTGTCTGACAAAGTTATTTAGCTTAGGCTTCAGTTTTCTCAACTGTCAAATGACTGTTACAGTTGTTCATGCATCGTGTGGCTTTTTCTCAGTTTGATAGAATTATATATGTGCATGTATATGTTTTAAAACATGGACACAAGTCCTAAATAAGCTATAATTAAGGTCACTGTGGTGACTTCTATTGTTTACACAAGTGGTCCTCCAGAAGCATTTACCGTGATATAATTTTACATTTTATCTGAGATTGGATCTCTACTTTACAGTGTATTATTGAACTATAATCCTCTACTAAATCTTAAGGGGCTGAGGAGTGGAGTATAAGTGAGAGCGTACTGGCTTGACATACCATCCCTAGGCCCACATAAAGATAGATTCTGAAAATAATATATGTTCCGAATGATTTTGCATAGGGGAGCACAGGCACCAACATATCAGGGAAGTATGTACACTTCTCTGATGTAGGATTGGTTGTGTAAGCTGATCACACCCAAAACTAGAGTTATAAGTGAACTAGATAGGTTGAGACATTTTCCTAGTGAGATGATTAATAAAATATCAATCAAAAAGCTTTCTGCAACAAAATCAGACAGTATGTAATGTCTAAGAGGTACAATTTGAACTTGACAGTAGGGAAAGTTTGAAAGCCTAAGGTAAGATGGGCACACTGGTCTTGAGAAAAGGTGAAAGTTGGTGGGTTCTTGGATAAATTTGTATATGGGAAACATCAGGTGTCCACTTCTCAGTGAAGCCAGTACTGTGTGGAACTCAGAGTGCAAAGGCCCTGACACTAGCGTTGCACTCGAATCCCTAGGAACCCTTTCTGCTGGAAAGTTATGAAATCTCACTCATTTTAGTTGTCTTCTCTGAATTCATGACTGCCTTTTTTTTTTTAAACTTCTATTGGTATGTGTTTGCAGTACATAATAATCATGTTGGTTCTTGGGAGTTGATACATGTCCATGACACATTTCTATTCTTTATTTTCCACCATCCTTGTATTTTGCCAGAATCCCATTCATGCATTTCTCTTATAAACCCTTGTCATGTATACAGATTAAAAATAAGACTATTAAAAAGAAATATATATATATAAGATATATATATCAATATCAATATATATTATATATATATATATATCAAACATACCAGACTATAAGCCAAAACACATATAAAAGATGGAACACAATTGTACTAAGTCGAAGTATTCCTTTAGATATATTTTCCATGCTGAGTTACAATAACTTTTTTCTTCTATTGTCTGTCTTTTATTTCATAGCTAACTTATATATGAAGTTTTTCATATTATAATGAGTCTTTTGTTTTTTATTTTATTCATTTATTTTTTGAGACAAGAATCATACTTTGTAATTCAGGCTGGACTGAACTCACAGCAGTCCTCCTGATTTAGTTGCCCAAGTGGTGGGATTACAGGCATGTGCTACCGCACTTGGCCATAGTAACTGTTTTAAGCAGCTCAACAGTGATGACATGCCATTGCAGGTGAAATTCTGTTATGGAAACATTCTATACAAATACTCAATCTTTGGTGCTCTGTAAATAGAATTTTATAGTACCATTTAACCACAAAATCTGAACTGTGTAAAAGTCTTTTATAATAATTTAAGCAATGAGCAGTTGGCTTTGTGGAGCTTAATATTAAAGCTAGTCATTTTCCCTCTCGAAACCATGCTAAAGAAATAGTGTTGCCTAGATTTTGCCAGTGTCTTTTATTTCACGTGCTCATTTCAATGTAATAAAAACAACAGCAGCACAGCTTGATCATTCACCCCATTGCCTTCTGAAGTTTATGTTTCATGGAAGAGAAGAAATAATTTTCCTAATATGTTTGGCTATTTTGCTGGGGATGTGGCTCGGTAGTGTAGTACTCTTAGCATGCATTAAGGCCTTAGGTTCAATCCCCAGTACCACAATAAAAGCAAAAAACAGAAAACCAAAATGTTTCCCTGTTGTAAAAATTGACTTTCTAACTCTCAAGAAGTGTGTGTGCACCCTCAGGACAGGCTTTGAATTATTTGCCCAAACACATGATTAAATTGCACACCAGGCATGCATGTTTACAGGTTTGTGTGCGTGTGCACGCGCGTGCGCGCTCGCGTGTGTGTGTGTGTGTGTGTGTGTGTGTGTGTGTGGTGGTAGGGAGGGAGATTTCTCGGTAGCAAGGAGATTCAAGTTTATGCTGCTTACTCCAAACATCTGTTGTGGCTGTTTCAAGGTGTCTAAGAATGGGTCTTTGCTCTGTACTTTATAGTTCTATGTGGGATGCATATGTGATTTCTCAACCATAGTAGAAAGTTCATAGGGAAAATTCTAAAGTAGTCATCTGACTATGGTGGGCAGTTTTGTGATATCTGTCAGATAACCTGAATTGTAATTGATTTGAAGAAAAAAAGTATTTTGTGAATACAGGGTACAGTTTAATACTTTGAGCATTATTGTTTTGTTTTTTTGTTTTTTTTTTGTTTTGTTTTTGTTTTTCTGAGACAGGTCTCACTATGCAGTTCAGGCTGGCTTTGAGCTCACTTTGTAGCTCAGGCTGACCTCAAACTCACAATGATCCTCCTGCCTCAGCCTCTCAAGTGCTGGAATTACAGGCATGCACAACCACATCCAGCTACTTTGAGCATTCTTGATGTAATAAAAAACTGTTCTGTGAATACAGAGTACAGTTCAACACTTTGGTACTTTCTCAGAAATACAGTACTTCTTGTGATGAGCCCTAACTTGGCTGTAGGCCATGCTCCTTGCCGCTGAACCACTAGCCTATCACATTGACTGAAGGAGGGTTCCCAGGACTCAGTGCACATATTGACCAGCTGAACTCATGCTCTCTGAGAATTACTGGAAGAATTTGATGCTTTGCTGACACTTGAGGTGCTCAGTAGTCAATGCAACTATCAGCATGACTCAGACTGGAGTCCGTTCATCAGCTCATAGAATGCTGTGTGAAGTTTCAAAACATGGATCTCCAACTCACCTTTGTCTTTGTAGTGCTCTCCTTCCGGTTGCGTGGCATTGTGGTGCATTTGCTGTGGGAAGTTGGTTACACATGGAGCCATACTCAGTGGTACTCTGAATCATATAGTGTGGAGTGCTGGTGTTACCAGCTTTGGGTTCTCTGCTAAACTTCCCAAGAGTATATTTCTGTTTGGTGAGAAAAGTTGCTTCCATTCCTCACTTGTCAAAACAACACACTGGTCCCCAGTACTCTTCCTCACAGTGTGACTAGCATGTGAAATGTGAGCCTGAGCTGCAGCCATGAGAAAGGGTCTCCTTAGCCCTTGTGCAAGACCCCTGAAGTTGAAAAGTGTCCCATCTCTTGGAAATACAGTCATGTATTTACTATGGAGAGTTAAAGTTCTTGCTATATGTCACTTAGATAATGTTTATTCTGCAGAAATTCGCACAAGCTTCTTGAAATGAAGGGCAGCTTTACCATTGTGCTTTTGCCTACATTATAAAATATATCATAATTCATAGATTACATGACATTTTTTGTACCAGGGATCAAACTCACAACCTCACACTTGCCAGGCAGGCCCTTAAGCTGCTGAGCTAAATCCCTGGCCTTCACGTAACTTTTATTTTACGCATTTGTTCCCCAGAGAATTTAGTGTATTTTGGTCCAAGAGAATACAGCATAGCTGTAGAACACTTTCCTAGTATGCTAAAGCCCTGAGCTCCATCATTAGTATGACAGAATCTAAAATAGCTGCCTCCTCCAACAGTATGTATGTATGTATGTATGTATGTGTGCATGTATATACATGTTGGTGCTGCAGATCAAACATAGCACCTTGTGAAGGCTGGGCAAGTGCTTTACTAATGAGCTACACTCAGCCCCCAGTCTCTAATTTAAAGGCAGGAAGGTTCCCATATCAGTTTGCATTAGAGCAGATACTCTGTGTTTGTGTGTGTGTGTGTGTGTGTGTGTGTGTGTGTGTGTGTGTGTGTGTGTGTTTGGTTTCTTTTCCTTTTTTGGTACTGGGGATCAAACTCATGCCCTTGCACTTGCCAGGCAGGTGCTATGCTGCTGAGCTAAATTCCTGGCCTCCTTTTCTTTTTTTAAAAAAGGGTCTCACTGTGTTGTTCAGGTTGGACTTGAAATCATTATGTAACCCAGGCTGACTTTCAGCTCATAGCAATTCTCCTGCCTCAGCTTCCAAAGTGCTGGGATTACAGGTGTGTACCATCATCCTGGCATTAGAGCAGATATTATAAAAATCAACCCTGGTGTCTAGTGTTTGGTTCTATGGGAGAAGCTATAAGCTGAAGAAAAGAAGCTCTGACAATGTCAGGAACAGAGCAATCTAGTGCCCAGCCACCTTCTGCAAAGGGCCCCAGCTTGGCCTGCCTGTCACATCTATTGGGATATGATATCTCACAGCCCAGGAGCAAGCAAATATCAGAAGAAACCAAAGGGGTTTTCTTCTGGAGTTGATGGATATGACACATCAACATCTAGGATTACTGACATATTATTCAGATGCCCTTGGTGGCTATTCAGTGTGGACAGATGATGGACATTCTGCAGAGTATGCCCCCCCCACTGGTTACTATGTTTTTATTTGCTCTTTTTAAATTTTTCCTTTTTTTCCCCTGGGGGCTCCGTATGTAGTCCAGACTAGCCTTGAATTCATGGTAATCCTCTTGCCTTCATCTCCCACATGCTGGATTATAGATGATGCCACCATACCCAGCTTGATTACCTTGCTTGAAGCTTTGGGGCTCAGAGCTGGAAGAGTTATTATTTGGGAAGTTGAGCAAGAAAAGAATGAATGTTGCTAAAGCTTAAATGTTTGCCGCTTTAGTAGAGGGGGAGGAAATAGGTGGTTCTCCTATTCCAAACTAATCATATGGGTAGACGGATAACCTTACCTAAGTGGATAGTCAGGTAGGTGAGTAAACACTGTGAAGCCATTTAGTTCTTGGAGGTCACAGATTTGGACAAATGGGTGTCTGTACTAAGTATGTGCAGTAGCAAGCAAAAGAGATCCAGTTTCAATACCCAGTGTAAAAGGAAGGTAGTTGTGCATATCACCAAACATTGCAAAGAGCCAGAGTAGAGGTGCGCAGAAGTGTCTGCAGGCTCCAGATTCTGCATCTTAACACAGGATCCTTCTGTACACTTTTGGGAACAACTCTCAAGAAAACTGGACTCTAATGTGCCCACCTATCGTGTTAACCAAGGTTAGGTGCCCAATCTCGTAGTCCACAAACTACCTGGTAGGGGAGGTGTAGCTACCTGTAGGTGGAACTTGGGCCAACTCCCCAGCCAGGGTCTTCTGTGTTATTTCCTAACGTCACATGACTTTTGAATGCATCATCCTACTTCTGCTACCTTCACACCACTCCCACTGCTGCATCTGGATGCAGGTGTAAGGAGGAGGAAGGATGTAAAGGCAACAGCAGTTTATACCAAGCTTCAGGTAGTGGGCCTTGTTCTTGTTTGCAGTACATGTCTGGTATGTACTTTCACAAATTACAGCTGTGCAGTGGTATGTACCTTTAATCATCCGAGCTACCTGGGAGGTCCAGGCAGGAGGGTCATTTATGATGACAATGCCATTGTTCTAGGCAACTTAAGAAACTGTCTCAAGATAAAAAGTATAGTACAAATGGCTGGCGGTTTAGTTCAATGAGTGCTTGGTTCCATCCCCAGTACCATCAAAAATAATGAAAACACCAACAAAATCATTTTTAGACTACTGAGGACATAGTTCTTACTTAGTCTATTTGAATAGGCACATAATCTAGAAGTGCTTCTGACCTACAGCAGTAGTCTTCCTCTTCCCTGGCCTGGCCAGAGCATCCAGGACAGACCCTCACTTAATATTACAGAATTTCAGATCTTTACCCAGAAATGGATTTACACTGCTTCTTGGGGTCAGTCTGTCTGTCTGTCTGTCTGTCTGTCTCTCTGTATGTTTGTCACACACTCTCTCTTTCTCTCTCTCTCTCTCTGTGTGTGTGTGTGTGTGTGTGTGTGTGTGTGTGTGTGTGTGTGTGTTCTTGTTTCCTTAAATGAGTCATAGCAGCTCTGTAGCCAGGTTTGGTAGCTGTCTTAGTTACTTTTTACTCATTGCTGAGACAAAATACCTAAAGGCCAAGTTGGGAAAGGAAAGGTTTATTTCTTACAGTTTTTGGAGGTTTCACACACTCAGTTGGCTCCAGGGCATGGCTGGGCCACAGTTCATGGTGGCTGCAAACAGCAAGCAGGAACAGGCAAAGAGCAAGACACACCTTCTCCCTGCCATTACATTACATCCTGGCTCCACCCCTCTGTGGGTATAGCACTGACACCATCAATCCAAGCACTAACAATGAACCATCACAAATGCACAATACAAATACATGAAGCCTGGGGGCCCACACACATAAACCATGACATTCCTCCCCTGGCCCCCAGGACTCTTGTACATCCTTTATACAAAAGACATTTAGTCCACCACCAAGAGTTTCCAAAGTCTTAAGTTTCAGCATTGCTGAACAGTCCAAGTCCCATGTCTCCTCCATGATCTATGGCAAACTCTTAACTGTAACCCCTGTACAAATGAAACAAGTTTAAACATTTCTCAAATGCAAAGGCACAAAATAAACATTACTATTCCAAAAGTTACAAACAGGGGAATATAAAGCATTGGAAACAAAGCAAATCCAACATCCAGCAGGATGAACATTAAGTCCTAGAGTTCCTTGCTCTGCATCTGAAGCAATATGGTTACAAGCTCCAAAAGGCTTGTGTGATTCCACCCCCAAGGCACTTCCAGGGATTTCACCTCCTGCAGCTTTTCTCTTAAATCCTCTCTGCTTGCTTTTTGGAGCTTTCCTTGGATCGTCCATGTTTCTGGCTTTTCCAAACTTTTGGGGTCTCCACTGCACCTTTGGCTTCACCTTTATGTCTTCACAAATTGCCCTCTCAGGGGCACACAGCTTGGCCTCCCAGGCCCTTTGCAATAGAGGTAGAAGCCATCTTACCCTCAGAATTTGTGCATTTTCCTAGCACCTAAGATCAGCACCATGTGGATGTTGCCAAGGTTTGCTGCTAGCTAGAGCAGTACTCAGGCTTTTCTCTCTCTTGGCTGTAGGGGTCAGTTGCCTGGATCACAGGGCTCTGTTTAACTGATTGTGAGGAAAAGCTTCTCTATGTTGCCACCATTCTGGAACCTCATGTGGCCTGTCACCATTCTGGAAACTCATGTGGTCTCTGTCGCCATTCTGGAACCTGGTGCTCTGCAGCTTTCTCCTCTGAAAAAATTCTTTTACCTTTGCAGTGAGGCTGCACAGGGTGGGGACCTGCTTCCTGGGATGCCCCCGGCCCATCTTTCTTATTTCTCTGTTTTCCCTCAGCCATCAGAATCTCCACTGTCTTTACAATCCACAGCCTTCCTGAAATATTCTTTCTGGCCAAACTCACAGTATTGCAAATTATCCCGCTGGGCTCTTTCCTCTTGATTTGCAACATAAAGCTGGCTAAAAGCCCTCTACAGTAGCCATGCCACAGACTCAACATTTGATTGCTTTTTAATTTCTTTTTCAAGATTAATCAGTCCATTGCCCTTTGTTTCAGTCTCAGGCAAAGTCTCTGGACATGAGCAAAATGTAGACAACTTTCTGCCAACCCATAACTCACATCATGGGGAGTCCAACAATCACTGCAGTCCTTCTTCCCAGCAGAAATCTCCCAGGCCTGGTCTTTACCATCAGGCTTCCTATCAGCCTTCTGGTCTCCTGAGCTGTGACCACTATCTCCTCTACAGAACTGCCTAAGCTGCTCTAGCTCTATGCATCCAGGCAACACATCCAAACCTTTCCAAACTCTGCCCACAAGCCATTTCCAAAGCCATTTCTTGAAAAACATGGTAAGGTATAGTCACAGCAAACAACCCCATTCTTCGGTACCAAATTCTGTCTTAGTTACTTTTTACTCATTGCTGAGACAAAATACCTGAAGCCCAAGTTTGGAAAGGAAAAGGTTATTTCTTACAGTTTTGGGAGGTTTCAGTCCACACTCAGTTGGCTCCAAGGCAGGTGGGCATGGCTGGGTCACAGTTCATGGTGGCTGCAAACAGCAAGTAGGAACAGGCAAAGAGCAAGATACACTTTCTTCCTACCATTACATCATATCCTGGCTCCACTCTTATGTGGGTGTAACACTGACACCATGAATCCAAGCACTAGACAATGAACCATCACAAATGCACAATGAAAATGCATGAGGCCTGGGGGCCACAGACATAAACCATGACAGTAGCCTACTACTTCTTGTACTTAGGAGCACACTTCTGCTGATCTGTTTCTCTGTGAATAGCTTTGCTTGTTTCAACTAGAAAATTGTTGTTGTTGTTGTTCTTCTTCTTCTTCTTTTTGTTTTTTTCTTGTTTCATCTGAGATAACACATTTGCTGCCTTCTCTGGTACAGTTACTCCCTGGTGATTGTTCCTGTAAGCTTAGCGGTAACTTAAGGAACTCTTAGTTGAAATTGTATATGAAACATTTTACTTAGGAACATAAGTTTCCAAAAGAAAGAAAAGGGGAAGAGAGACTGATTGACTGAGACTGACTAGGGTTTTTGTGTATCTGAAACATACTTGTCCTTTGTGTTCTAATGTCAGACTTACCATGCTTACAATGTTACTGTTTCACATAACTGTGTTACACAAATCACTTTTAGAGATGTTAGTATAGTAAAAGTGTGACTTGAGTCTTTAGAAATAAAGCATATATGAAACCTCAAATCACATTACGGAGTGCATGCAAGACTCACCTACCCACTTCCCTGCAGTACTGCCTTGGTATTGCATGAGTTTCTGTGCTGGTGATACATTCGGCATTGAAGGAGGTGTTGAATGGCTGGCTAAAGAAGAGATCAATGGGTTAAAACCACAGAATGACCCAGTGACTTAGCAAGTACCCGTTTACTTAAAGAGCAGTGTACAATAGAAACTGTCCTCTGTTACTTGTTTGCTGTATTAGACGATAATCTTTTTGTGGTTAAAAGTCTGCATTACAGCTGGGAGTATGAAACACATCTATAATCCAAGCACTGGGGGAGACTGGTTACACAGAGTTTGAGGCCAACCTGGACTACATACATAGCAAGACTTTGTCTCAACATTCCCCAAACCACAACCACCCCCCAAAAACACTGTTTTTTAAAGTCTCTCACAAAATTAGGCACTGATGTCTCAACTGAGGTGTGGTTTCCTCTTCCTAGATACTGTTTCTTCATTGTTGAAGTAGGGTTTCATGTTTTCCCCTAATTGTCTTACTACCTTGGATATGAAAATTCTGCTTGAGTTTTATAAGTTGGTAGTAATTCTTCAATTCTCTGAAGTAATGGTGATTTGACTGGGAATCAAGAGAACTCTGTAGCATTTTTTATTTACTCAGGCATTCTCCATAGTATGTGTGTGACTGTCATTACAAGGATGATGTTAATAACATTAAAACTGTAGAAGATAAAAGGAACTGAGAATATGTGTTATACTTTTGAAAATGCTCAGAGACTGTTCCATTAACTTGTTGGATGTGTAACAGTGCTTCTTTAATTTGAATGTCTTCTTTTTCACAGGCCTGAGTTGCTGGAGGAAGCCCAGAGGCAAGGCTTACCATTTTCACAGTGGGACGGGCCAACCGTGGTTGAATGGCTGGAGGTACATCCCTTTACTACAGAGACCTATGCTACATGACACAAGCTTGTCGTGCATCTCCCGTCTCTACCTGATGTTCTGGTCTTTTCATTCTTCTTTCTAGCTCTGGGTTGGGATGCCTGCTTGCTATGTGGCTGCCTGCAGAGCAAATGTGAAAAGTGGGGCCATCATGTCAGCTCTGTCAGACAGACAGATCCAGCAAGAGATTGGCATCAGCCACCCTCTGCACAGACTGAAGCTGCGGCTGGCCATCCAGGAAACCCTGTGGCTCACCAGCCCTTCGGCTCCACCCACATTGAAAAAGGTATGTTCACAGAGGCTCTGTGTGCCCTCTGTGGAGGAGGAAGGCAGAGCCCACAAAAGCAGTAGCCTGCTAATGTTTCCGTGCTGCTTCCTAATCATACAGGGTGGTTTCAACTTAAAATTTCAGGAAAGCATAGTACAACCCCTAACTTGGAGGGGTTGAGTGATCCAAAGAAAATGTGTGAACTGCTTGTGTAAAAGTGTGGTTAAAGCCAGGCGTGGTGGCACATGCCTGTAGTTCCAGTACTCAGAAGGCTGAGGTGGGAGGATCACTGTGAGTTCTAGGCCAGTGGGTTACAGTGTGAGCAGCTTGAACTGAGTAATGAGATCCCGTTTCAGAAAAGACCAAAAAATAAATAATTAAATAAATGAATAAAACTTGGTTAGAAGGGCCTTCTTTAAGAAAGAAGGCTTTTTGAAAGGTAGAAAATTGAGTGTCACAAATGTACGTATGAATTTATCAAAACTGAGTAAGTGTAAGGACCTCTTGAGGAAGGAAAAGTTAACATTTTAAGTAGCATTTCATCCTTGAACTTTGATTTCTATTTCATAGTTCAAGCAATAATTAGTACTTGTACGGTATATAAAGGTACTTGCTAAGCAAATTATATGCGGAAAATATTGTTTTTCTTCAAGTATACAGGTAGCAAAATATACAGATAAGCCCAGGAATGTATAAACCCTTGCATACAATCCCCGGGCATAAATAAGCACCTGGCTACGGCCCCTTGGCTATAAACTAGGTTGGGCTGCCCTTACTTTGTTGTGTGTGGCTTCTTTCCTTCAGTCTTGTGCGTGTGAGTGCATCTGCATCACTGCACATATAGGCGGGACTTACAGAGTAACTGTAATTTGTGGCAGTCCAGAGGTGCCACTGACATACAGTTGACACGCTAACAAGGGGTGGTCACCTCCCAGAAATCCACTGGTTCCTGGACAGTTCTAAGCTTCTCTTCTTTGTGGATGTCTTTTTTTCCCTACAAGAACTAAAGGAGGAAAAATGCTGAGTTTCCTAGATGCACTGTGGTTGTGTGTCACGGCACCAGCAGGTGCTCTGGGTCTTGGGAGCTGCATGTGTCTGTCCAACCATGCCTGTGCTCACAAAGATGCTGTCCACTTGGGGAGTAGTGAAGAGCCCTCAAAGAGCTTCCTGGTGACTCTTCTGATGAAACATTGGTGGTTATTAGAAGGGAAGAGCAGGCCAGCTCTTAAGTTGCAAAGTTCAGGGGTTTTTTCATTTAGATGTTCAACAAACTCTTAGAGCTGTGTAGACATCCTTCTGAGCAGCAGAGCAAGGTCTGCCTACAGTAACTTTATACACAAAAAAGTGTGAAGATTTTGTTGTTAGAGAATTATGAAAATGAACAATAAGCCTTTTTTTTTTTTTAACGTATGGCCAAAGAACACTTTCCCTTGGTGGAATGTTTTGTAACCAGTATCAGTCTGTTCTGCAGCTATTTCCACATTAATGTGGGCTTTGTAGAAATGAAGATGCTGCATGGCTTTTTCAAAGCTTTTAAGAACCCTCTTTCAAAAGGGAGCTTCTGTGATTCAGTTGAACTATTGGCAAGGACTAGACCTCACATCAGAAAGACTCTCCATATCACCAGTTACAAACACAGAAATTGCTGTTCTTGGGGAGCTTACAGTAGGCTAGCAGAGTGGCCATCAGTCTCAGGTTTGACTCAGATGGTGACAAGTGCTTTGTTTTTGGTGTTTGCATTGTTTGGCTCTCCTGTGCTCACTGTCTTGTGCCCTGGCCTCCTGGGCTTCCTCTGGCTTTGGATCATCTGCTGAAAGCAGCCACAGGAAGCCAAGGCCAGAGCATCCTGTTGTTAGCCTGTGTTGGGGTGAGACTGCTTTCTGTGTGTTTTGTTTTATTCTTTTGTTTTGCTGTACTGAGGCTTAAACCTAGTGCTTTGGGAGAGCCAGGCAAAAACCCTATCATGAGCTATACCTCCAACATGGTGAGACTATTGAAAATACTGTCTATTGAATCATCAGTTACTGGGGAAAGTAACTTTTCAGAAATATAAAGTATGTTCTCATCCATACTTTTAAGCATGTGATCTGGAAATTGTGTGCTGTTCTCCTTATATTCCGACCACACTGTTATTGTTTAAAAGAGGATGAGCCTGTGTTAATGATCTCTGGCTTTCTCTGTGGGTGCCTGAAATGAAAATGTGCAAAGAGTGACCTTTGCCTCGTGGCTCCTTACTGTGCCTGTGGCTCATATGTGCGTCCTTCTCCTTTCTGTCACGCTTCCCTTGCCCTGGATGTGGCTGGTGCACTGGGGTCACCTTAGACCACAGGAAATGTCTGGTTAACACATGAAGAGATGGAAACACTCGCAGCCACATCTCAGATGGTCAGTCAGCCCTGCAGCTCATGTTCCAAAGTGGGTTTCCTACTCCAGACCAAAGGGCCCTTTGTCTTTTGTTGAAAACAAAAGTTAATTTGCATTTGTTTCAAATATAATGTGTTCTTTTTAGGTTATTAGCTCATAGCGTATAGTCGTATTTGCATTTTTTAGATTTTTACAAGAATTTAGTTTATAGATTTGCCCCATTTAGAGAAGATGTAATTTGCTTCTCCTTTTGGAGAGACCTCCATTGAGCACTGCGTTGTGGTTGTCTAACGCCAACAGTCTACTGTATGAGGTTAGTTGGCATGGAAAAAGTCTGCTCCTTGCATGGAAAATTGAAATTCTTGGATTTTCATGAGTTTTTGCATGAGGCATTGATATTTTGAATGTTTTTCACTCAGTCAAGGTGCATGTTCCCTGCAGAATTAATTTGCTTACACTACTAAAGTTCACTAATACTAATAGTTATGTTCTTTTACATTCCTAACAACCTAACCTCAGGAAGATGAGGAGGGAAGCTGGATAAGGTTGGAGTCTTTCTATAATATTTCTTCACTCTGTAGCAACAAAAAGCAATTGAGGATGTAAACTTGTGTGACCTGCTTTAGTAGGTGTTTTTCACACCTTAATTTATTCATAGTATCATTAATGACTTGAAGAATGTAATCAAATAAATCACAGGATTAAAGATTACATCTCATGGATAATTTTGAACATTTCCCATATGGGATCATGGAAATTACTTTGAACGAAGGTTGTTTTATTTATGAATAGAATCTTTTATACAAAGTCCCCTGGTTTAGGCAACTTCTGAGTTTATGTACATGTAGTTCGTTGCTGGGTTAGTTTTGTTCTAAAATGTACTGCTGAAAAAAATCATGAAATACACTTCTAAACCTGAAAGTTGGCACGGGGCCTTTCCCTCTATGTCTTTATATTGTTATTTGACTAAGTACTGCCCTACTGTGTTGAGTTAAAGATCTTAGTAATGGGGTTCTCAGAAATTAAGGCTTATCACTTCACAGAGATTGAATTTCAGCTGCCTAACTCTTCACTACACAGAAAGCTCTGCCCCATGTTTTACAGTGTCTGAGTCAGATGACTTGGTTAAATTCCCAGCATCCCTCTGCCCTCTTGGGTCTTTGGTGGGCACAGTGCAGTACCAGGGGACTTGTAGTTCTTCAGCTTTTCCCAGGGGCACGGTATTCGGGGGCTCAGAAGAGTTAGCATATGTCTGAAAGCAAGTATAAATGAGTTAAGATTAGAATTTGCTGATTCCAAGATGATGCTTGAAACAGTTGCTTCTGTTTGCATTTCTAAAGGTTATTCAGTTATAGCACTTGGTTGTTTGTTTTGTTTGTTCATTTGAAAAAAAGAGAGGTGGAACTTGGTGACACATATGGGTCATCCCAGGACTTGGGAGGTTGATCAAGCATGTTTGTTGCAAATTTGAGACCAGCATAGGCTACATAGTGAGTTCAAGGTCAGCCTAAACTACATAGTAAAATCCTGTCTCAAAATTACAAAAAGTTTAGAAACAAAAACTAAGAAGAAAGAGAATAGCTACTAACTGGGTTTCCCTCCCTGGGTTTAGATACTCCCTGCCTCTAGAATCGCTTAAATTCACCTAGTTAGAGGTCTCTCTACAGGACCAACAATGACCATCAGTGAATTAAGCAGTGCATTTCATAATTACGTAAGTTTCAATATATTCCAAAAGACAAAGTAGAATATGGTCACCACTTCAATATGAAATAGCATCAGAGACATAAAGTGTAGTTGAATAAGCTTAACATTTGCTTTTTGCAGTGACCATATAAAAGGGGCCCATGCAGAAGATTCCAGATTTACCCCACATGCAATGTTCTGCAGAAGCTTGGTGCACTTTGCCACCATCCTTTCCCAGACAGAGCTGCTAGGACAGAGCTATGCTAGCACAAAGCATTGTGCTTTGCCCGTGCTGGCACTGGGTGGCCTCGCTCCTGACTGAGCTTTGGAAGGAACACTCAAGTGTGGTCAGAACTGTTCGCATATCAGATGTAAGTTATGACTGGCTGTGTAAGAAGGCTGTGCCAGCTGCCAGGAGCCATTAATGAGCAGGACAGCTGCAGTCCCACTCTCATGGAGCTCGCATTTTACTGACCTTGAGACTGAGTGTGACTTGTCCATGCTTGGAGCATGAGGTCCCTTTGCACACTTCTTCAGAAGGCTGTGGTGGCAGCCAGGGAGAGGAGGAGGCTCTCCCTCAAACTGAGTCTGAGCTGTCAGAATCTGCATTATCAGCAACTGCAAAAGTAGTAAACAGAGATATGGAGGGTTTGCTTCCGCACAGCTTTTTATTTGGAAGATTTCTTCTACTCATTAGAAGAGAGCATAGTCAGCAGGCCAGAAAACATCAAATATTCAGGCTGTGAATCCCAGGCCCATGAAAGTATGACTCAAAGGACTGCATCATGGTAACATTGTTAGGTATCTTAATGGTTACCATAGTGGTATATTTGTCACTCATCATTTAAAGAAAGTTATGAAATCTTTTCTGTTAGAATTGGAACATTCCTCTTAGCTGAGCCATCCCTTGTATCTTGACTGGAACAAATAAAATACTAGAGTGGAATCCATTGTTCTAAACCAAACATGGAGGCCATGCATGGTGGTTTATGACTGTAATCCCATAACTCAGGAGGCTGAGGCTGGAAGATATCAACTTAGAGACCAGCCTGGGCCTAGTGAGACCCTGTTGTAAGGGGTTGGGGATGTAGCTCAGGTTAGAGTGCTTGCCTAGCAGGTATGAAACCCTGAGTTCAAGCCAGGAGAGGATGGATGGGAATGGATAGTTTTTATTTTAAAGGATTCCTCAATGTACCTTAGGATTCCTGTGAATGTAATTTAATCTTCCTTAGCTGGAGAGCATAACGAACCATTCTCTGTGAAGTGGTTGTATATCATGTCTATTTTTCATTGTACAGACCTTGGACATATTCTGTTGAATTGGTTGCTAAGGATTTTATGCAGTTTAGTGCCATTATATAAGATACTTCTAAAATCTCAATTTCCAGTTCATTTTGTATATTTAGAAATGTTAATTTTTGTGTATTCATTGTATATTCAGCAGCTTTGCTAAATTCATGTATAAATCCTAATAGCTATTTCATAGACTTTTTCAACAATGATAATCGTGTCATTTACTAATAAAGAGAGGTTTATGTCTTTCTCAACTCATGCCATTTTTATGTTTTTCCTGCCATTACAGTGGCCAGGTCTCCAGCACAGCCAAACATAAACGGTGACAGTGGACACCCCTTGTGCTTCTTTCCGTTCAGGGAGACATTTGGTCCCTCATTGTGAGGTTTTTAGCTGCAGGCTTTTGGTAGATGACCCTTAATAGATTGAGGCGGTGGGTCTTTCGTCCTAGAATGCTGAGTTTCATAACTGAATGATGGATCTTGTGCCACATAAGGTATTATGAGACATGGCTTTCTTTGCTGATCTCGTAATTGGGCAAATTTCATTGATTTTTTTTTTCCTCCTCAGTTGGTGAACCAACCTATTCCTGAGTCAGTAAACCTACTTACCATGATTCCTTATTTTTGGTGTAGTGCAGACTAGTCCCAAACTCGAAATACTTTTGTCTCAGCCTCCTGAGTGCTGGGTTTACAGGCATGCACCACCATACCACACCACAAAAAAGTACGTCCTGAAGCCAGATGTGATGATGCACCCCTGTAGTTGCCAAAACTCAAGAGACTGAGCCCAGAAGTTGGCTGTTATAATGTCCTATGACAATTGGGCATTAAACTAAGATGGACATCATACTAAGAGTGGCATCAATATCTCTTTGCATAGGGAGTGCTTGTGCATAGCCACTGCACTCAATCCTGGTAATATAATGGGAATCTCTGTCTTTAAAGGTTGTGGGGAGGGGCTGGGGATTTAGCTCAGTGGTGCAGCACCTGCCTTGCAAGCATGAGGTCCTGAGTTCAATTCCCAGTACCCCCCCCCCAAAAAAAAAGAAAGGAAAAAGTGTAAGTTATATCTGGGTCAGATTGATTGACAGTATTGTTTTTGTCCGTAGCCTTCCTGATTGTTTTCCTTTTCTTAGTCCTTTTTGGTTTTTTGATTGGCACATTGAACCAGTTGTTAAGAGAGGAGTGTTGAAGTCTTCTAAATTTAATTGTATTTTTCTGTTTTTGTTCTTAGTCTCATTAGTTGTTCGTTTATCATTTTAAATTTACTTTTCCTGATTTTCAAATACACTTGTCATTTAGGAAGACAAAGTATTAAAAATAAAATCAAAACCAGCTAGAGCTCATTTGAATGATTTGAATTGATTCTTCAAACTTGTTCATGAGTCATGATCATTCTTTATTCCTATATTATTATATTGAAAACTAATTCAGAAAAGGAATTTATAGACAGGTATGATTTTTCTATAGCTTGGTAAATTGTCCTAAATGAGTCATAAAATTTTGCCAATATGATTTCTGTTGGATAAAACTTTAGGAATTTGAAAAGGTAGGAATGGGAGACCAAATATTTAGAAATTATGAAAAGCAATGTTGTCATTCATTTAGCCTTTAAGAATGTTGTCTAGATTAAAAATCTGAACTGATGTCACTCATTTGTTGAAATCAGACACTTGCATATGGGGACATGGACCACGAGTGGATTGGCAATGAGTGGCTGCCCAGCCTGGGCCTACCTCAGTACCGAAGCTATTTCATGGAGTGCCTTGTGGATGCTCGGATGCTGAACCACCTGACCAAGAAAGACCTGCGGGGGCGGCTGAAAATGGTTGACAGTTTTCACAGGTGAGGCAGTGCAAGTGGTTCTTCCTAACGGATCAAGAGACTTCACATTGCCACCGTTAAATAACCCCTTATTTTGTAAATAGGAACAGCTTCCAGTGTGGACTTATGTGCCTGAAAAGGTTAAATTATGATCGGAAAGAACTGGAAAGAAGAAGAGAAGAAAGTCAGGATGTAGTTAAAGGCAAGTACATTATGCCGGATGGATGCAGCACATGCCTGCTGCCTCCCAGGCAGCCTGGGTGATTGCCTGTTTGAAAAAGTATAGCAGCCAGCTGAGCTGGCACATACCTGCAATCCTAGCACTCTGGGAGGACATAGCAGCAGAGTCACAAGCCTAGCCCAGGCAGCTTGGACTCCGTGAAACCTTCTCTCAAAATGAAAAGTATAACAGGGCTAGAGATGCAGCTCAGTGCAAATCCCTGTGTTTATTCCTGAGTACCTCAAAAAGAAATCAAGGGCTTAGTGATAAGGCACTTGCTTACCACTTGCATTGCCCTGGGTTTGATCGCTAGGACTGAAAAAAAAAAAAGCACAAAATAATCATACATTTATCTGGCAATTACACAAATTACAGTTCCAGCTACTAAGAATACTAAGGCAGGAAGATCACAAATTCAGGGCCGACCTGGCAATTTAGTGAGACCCTGTCTCAGAACACTAAAACTAGATTTGAAAATTAGGGGTGCTAAGAATGTAGTTCAGTGAAAAAAGACTTGCCTAGCATGCTCAGGGCTCTGGCTTCTGTCTCTAGTACCACAAAAAAATAAATCAGGGAAGACTTTTAAGTGGAAACAACTGGCTTGGCATGATAACAAGAGGAGGGATGAAAAGGGGTGCCCTGAGACAGTGTGTGCTTATCTCAGTCTGTAGGCTACCCTCTTGGTGCTGGCATTCTTTCATGTAGTTTTCCTTTTGTTGTTGTACACTGTATACGCTCTCTCAGAGATGCTGCCTTATGCTATTAGATCAGAGCAAGGCAAACAAGCCACTGCCTTTTGCTTACTGGATAGAGGTTAAAACTACAGCTTTGGGAGCTTTTTCTAAGGCCTGTGGCAGCATGCAGGGCACACAGTTCTGCTCCCAGAGGGAGGGAGAGGTCAAGGCAACCAATAGCCTAGCACCCATAATTTTGTAATTTATTTATTTATTTTGAGACAGAATTTCACTAAGTACCCTGGTCTGGGATTACACCTGTGACCCTCCTGCCACAGCACCCATACTAACTGGGATTGCAGTCCTTACAGAAACCACAGAGTGTCCTGTGGGCAAAGGAAAGACATGTCAGAAACAGGCCAGGAGGAAGGAGAGGGCATGGCAGCCCCCTCAGTATGTCAGGGACAGGCATCTTCTCTGAAGACAACACTGAATGTCATGCTCACGAGAGTCTCTCAGAATTCTCGGTAGTTACTAATAGCACTGCAGTGATGAGAAGAAATGAGACTTACTGAATAATGATCAAGCACTGTGTCAAGTCTTCCATAGTTGATTCATTCAGGCTGCATCGTGGTTCTGTTATTTTCATCCTCATTCTGATGTCTTTTTCTAAATAAAATAAAGGATTATCTATTGGCCAGGGATGTAGCCCTGTGGTAGGACACTTGCCTAGTCTGTGCAAGGCCTGGGTTTTAATTCTTTTAAAACAAAGAATACGTTGAGGTCTATTTAGAAAAGAAAGTCATGGCCGGGGATATAGCTCAACAACAGAGCGGCTGTCTGGCAAGTGCAAGGTCATGAGTTTGATCCCTGGTACCAAAACAAAGTTGAGAAAAAAAAATCAGACATGAAATGTATTAATCCATTTAATTTGTTTTCTATATCCCCTCTCCATATTTTGTCAGTTGGCAAAAGCAGTCTTTGAAAAGATTGGTGGTCAGATATATTTTTACAGAGTGGCAATTTTTTGGTCTGTAATAGAATACATTTAATAATTATCTTTGTATGATATACGATTGCCAAAATCTAGTATGCTGGAATGTCTTTAAAATTCTTTCTTTGTAATATATTAAGATGTTGATATGACCAAAGCTTCAGAAGCACAGGGGCTGGGGTATGGCTCAGTGGCTTAGCACCTACCTGGTAAGCACAAGGCTCTGAGTTTGATTCCCAGTACAACAACAAGAAAAAGTAAAAGAAAACGAAGGTCAGAAGGTCAGAAGCAAAGAGTTTGTGTTGAACTCAGCAAGGTATCTGAACTGTCATGGTATCTGCCCCTTTCATGATGGAGAAGCATTTCAGGAGACTCTGGGGTCTGTGTAGGAAACATGCTTATACGTGCTAGGTCTGACTCTGACCCTCAGCCTGATGTTTTTGCAGTCTTAGGATTGAACCCCAGGCCTTGTACATACTAGGCAAGTGATCTGCCACCAAGCTACATCCTCAGCCAATCATGCTGTATTGTTCCCTGAATATATCCTATTCACAATCTTACTGTGACACCTGAGTGCACTAGGGGAGGCTTCTAAAGGGAAAGTTTTTATTAGAATGAGGCAGAACCAAAACAGCTGTGTCTAGGTGTGTGTCTGTCAGTATTTGTGAGTGTGGAGTCCATTTTCAGGAGCTGAGGGATCAAGATCCATGCTAGGAATCTTTCCCCTGCATTGCAGGACATGTATGATGAAGAGGTTTTCTGAAGCCACATTTACAGTTGTTTTGTTCTTTCACAGATGTGCTTGTTTGGAGCAATGATCGAGTGATTCGCTGGGTCATATCCATTGGCCTTAAAGAATATGCAAACAACCTCATAGAGAGTGGGGTTCATGGCGCACAGCTGGCCTTAGATGAAGCCTTCGATTACAACACATTGGCCCTGTTGTTACAGATCCCGACAGAGAACAGAAAGGTGACAACGGAGTCTGTGCCTCTGTCTGCTTAGCCACAGTGTTCGGTTTTTCTGTGGTTCTAGAATACTTATTTTTCATTTGAATGGAGAGAAAATTTAACTCTAGACAACTAGTAATCACTTTCCATAACTAATCTATAATATGGTAGTTCAAAATAAGCAAGTGCTTGATTTTTCACTATCTTTTCTTTCCAGTTTGTGTTGCAAGCATGTGAGTCTTTGAAGTCTTTGTTTTAAAAAATTGTAATGTGTAACATCCTTCAGATATATTTAGTTGTTGTTTTGTTACTTCAGGCTCGAAATGTCTTGGACAAAGAATTTGCCGACCTTTTGGTCCTTGGGACTGTCAGACGTTTTGATGTCGTAAGTTTTCAGCTTTTTTCTCCTCTCACTGCTAGGAATCAACCTCAGGGCTTCACATATGCCAGTTGAGTGCTCTACTACTGATCCTTGCTCTTGGTCCACTACTTAATTTTTGGCAACCTTCAAAAATTATTTCTATATTGTCAAACAGATTGCAGCCTGCGATCAAAGTCTTAAGTTGTGTTTTGGTGACAGCTGACTGTCCTGCCCCAGTTCTTCTGTTTGGAAGGCTTCTTTCAAAAGTATATTAAATTTCCCCTCATGCTAAATCATAACTAACCTGTTGCCATACATTACGATTGTCTTCAGTGAGCTCCAAGAGTACTTGATTTTCACAAAGAAGATGGAAGCTGAATCTGGAAGCAAAGCATTTGTTGGATTATTTGTAGCCAGGATATTTTGAAAATAAATAAAAGTACATTATATAGCAGGCAAGAGCTTGTCCACAGTAAGAAATAAAATATTCTGATGGGTGAGAAAATCACATCCCTGGTGCCCAGGACTGCCCTCGTTTCTCCAGTTGGGGCCCAGCAGGAATGTAATCATGTTTCCTCTCACACTGAAGTTCCAGTGTGTGCAGCACATTGGAAGGTCACCAGGAAAGGCTAAGTAAAGCAAAACAGTCAGGGGCTTAGGAGTCCTTCTGAAGGACAGTTATCTTTATTAGAGTGTGCCTGTTCTGTGTTTTCATTTGCCAGGAGGATGACAAACACTTTAGGAGAGCACCTTCATGGAGAGAGAAGGTTAGAGAAAAGGCCATTCACGGTGTGGCAACTGGGTCATCAGAGACACTCCCTGCAAACTTCCGAGTCTCTTCTTCCAAGTCTTCCCACTCTGTGCAGCCCAATGAGATCCAGATGGATGGTATGTGGTGGGCCATGTAATGCAACACTGGCTGGGAGCATGTGCGCGCTAATAATTACCTAGAGTGGCCATTGTATGTGTTACAAAGCATCTGAGTTTGGTTGCATGCCCAGGTGTCAATGGTTCAGGATTAGCCCTAACATTTGTTGGAAAATGGTTAACAACAATAATAGAATTTTTAAAAAATCTGTCTGGTTGAACCTTAGCATCCTTGCCCAACTAATAAAGTGAAGCACCCATCTGTGCTCTCAGGGCTGAGGCTGATGCACCTGTGGGGTGCAGTGTGTGGCAGGCAGCACTGGCTTGCCAGGAAAATTGCAGTGTGACACTTGGGACTTCTCTCCACACTAGAAGAAATGGCAGAGTAAACTTTAGCTCACAACTTCCAGGTTCTGCCAACTCTGTCTTTCCTTTTCCCTTCCCTCCAGTGTTATCTTTCCATATACTTACCTTGTGCCACCTGAAGAGGGACAGGGAAGAAGGCAGAAGCCTTGTGGAGACCGCTAGGGCAGCCCTGCTGCCTTCTCAGTGAGAGATGGCAAGGCATTGACCTTTCCAGTGCAGTCAGGATGGCCCTTATGTAACTGCTGACTGAAGAGTGCAGTTGGCTGAGAGGAGACCTTGAGTCCCTGACAGTCCTGCCCACCTAGTAAAAGGCACTGATAGGGTCCTGAGAGAGCCCACGTCCACATCCAGCTCTTGTGGTAGCAGGGACATGACCTTGAGCAAGTCATGCAGCTGTGCTGTGCCTCAGTTTCCATATCTGTAACTTGGGCATCATAGTAATGTGATTTTGATGCTTCAATGTGTCATGTGGGTGAAGCTGATGGAGTCCTGAGCCTCGTGCATTGCTGACAATCTCAGTGTTAGGTGGAGACTTCATTCCTTCTCATTCCTGATGTACATGGTTGTGCTGTATAAACTGTACCAGTGGGGTTTTTACAAGTTTCCTGTTGTTAGCCCCCTGTGTAGGTAGTTTTCCTTTTTTCTCTTTCTTGCCTGTATGAAAATCAGAGAAAAATACATTTATATAAACTTTTTAAAGCTGAACACTTTCCAGTGTGTCTTTTAACTAGTAAGTTCTTAAGAATTAACACTTTCTCCCTCAAGGTGTCTTACAAATGTTGGCAAGGCATGGAAGTGCATGCCTGTAATTCCAGTACTTGGGAGGCTCAGGCAGGAAAATCATGAATCTGAGATGTATGTGAATCATAAATCCAGGTTAAGGCTATACTGAGCTTCATAGGAAGACCTTGTATCATAAATAAAATAGATAAGTAAGTAAGCTGTGACGGGCCTTGAGCTTAATTTCCATTGGCTTACTAAATAGTCTAAATGAGTACTCTGTTGTTTTCCCTGTACCTTCAATTTCTGTTTCACTATAAGAATCACATTTTCTCTCTGAACATTGCAAGCAATATTAACATAGCTGGGTGTGGAGATCACCTGTAATCCCGGCACTGGGGAAGCTAAGGCAGGAAGGTTGCTGAGAGCTCAGTACCAGCCTCGAATTCACAGGGATTGTAGGGCCAGTGTGAACTACACAGGGAGACCTTGTTTCAACAAAACAAAACAAAAATAAAGGGTAGTATTAATGAGTTTGTTTGTTGTTGATTTGTTTTTTTGGTGGCATTTTTGTGGTTGTGGTTGTTGTTTGGGGGTTTGGGGTGGTACTGGGGAGGGAGCCTTCTACCTGTACTACACACCACCCCTTCTTTTATTATCCAGAAAGGGTCTTGTTAAATTGTCCAGGCCTGGTTTGAACTTGGAGTTTTCCTGCCTCAACCTCCCAGAGTGCTAGGATTACAGGCATGTGCAGGCAAACTGTGTAACACTAAATTTAAATGGATTGAATAGAAAAAGTTGTCAGGGTAAATTACATAGAAGATGTCTATGCCACATTGGTAAGAAGGTGGACTGTTACAAATGACTTGCGAGGTGGAGAGTATAAGATAAATTACAGCATGTCTCCTAGACTTTAGAATGAAGGTTTACAATGACTGCCCAGTCTTACCAACACGGCCAGCTATCTGTCTTTTCTAGAGCTATGGCAAGATGTTGCTAAGAAGTATTCCTGGTATACTTGCAGGAAAACAAAACACTGTACAACTGGGAGTGTAAATATCTGCCGAAGATGTTGCAAGCTCTTTACCCAGTTTGTGACAGGGCTGTACTGCCTGTTTAGCCACCCAGTGTTTGTCAAACAAGGACCCCTGCCTCCGTGTTCTCCATCCTTTTTTGTAGAAACTAAGACAAGCTTTAGTCCTCTGAGAAGCACTGGCCATGGCCTCTGGGCTGTGCCTCTTTGCCTGCAACCCACCCTGAGAGCAGTGCCTGCAGAGCAGCTGGGGTTCCCTCCTCCCCTTCGTGCTGCTGATTCACCCCATTCATTCCTGGAGGTCTAGCTGTAGGGCACAAGGAAAAGTCCAGTTGCTATATCAAAGTGTGGCTTAAGGAGCTGCAGAGTAGCTATGTTAGGTGGTTGTCCTCTCTGTATGTGCACACTGAGGTGGTTTGCACTTCCAAGGGGCCCTATTGCTATTTTAGGTGCCAGTGTCCCCTTGGGTGGTGACAGAACCACTCTGGGCAGCCCTCTGATGCTCTTGCCTCACTCTCCCAGGCAGTCTTAGGATTCCTCAGTAGACACCATTGTAGGTGTGGAGATGTGTATCTTACCTGTGCCCCGTGTGAAGTGTTAAAACTAACAGCACTTTGTTTTTGCACACTTCCTCTCATGGTTGTTGGAACAGGCAGTGTATCAGAAACACAGAAGTTGGATTCTGCGACAACCAGGACTTCCTCCCGTTAAGCCTCCTGTTGGTGAGTAGAGAGCAGCGTAATCCCTGGAGATCATCCCTGTACAGCAGGGTGAAGCTGTAACAGGGCTAACAGTGTGGGTTTAGACCATGCCAATTTACATGGGGAACTTCAAAATGACAGAAATAGTAGCTCTGTACCCATCAAGGTGATTTTGGTTTTTAGCTGACCATAAAGAGGGCTGTGTGTCATTTTTGTTCTATTAACTTTTATTTTTATTAGTAAGTTAGTTGTACTTAAATTCATCATGGAGAGTTGGTACCTGTACTAGGACATCTTAAATCTTTTTACCTCCCCTCTCCTGTGTCCCTTGTGTCTCCAGTTTTAAAGAAAAACACGTTCGTCCCCATTTTTTCCTAAAAGCTAAAAATGCCTACTCACTTGAAGTGATGATCTGCTGATGCCATTGTTGGGGGGTGGGCAGGAAAGCAGCAACTGAGGAAAAAAGCACCCCAAAAGCTGACCACACCAGGAGGCCAGAGCCTGAGATTGGGAAGCATCTCTTCCACTGTGTTTATACACAGTGGTACACAGCTCCTATACTGGCTTTGTTACAAACACACATGTACGCACACATATATGGGGAATTGAACCCAGAGTGTTCCCACTGTGCTATATCCCTAGCACCCCATCCCCTTTTTAGTGGGGACAGGGTCTTCCTAGATCATCTAGTCCTTGTTCAAACTTGCAATCTTTCTGCCTCAGCCTTCTGACATACGGGATTGCAGACGTGCCACCATACATGGCAGACATTTTAAACACAAAGCTGCATTGCCATGCCTGGGCGCCAGTGAGCCACTTGTGTCCTCATGGTCTAGAGCTCTGACTGACTGATGGCAGAGGTGTCATTGACCCGTGATCAGAACCCCAGCTGGAGCTCTGCCTACTGTGCTTGTGTTCAGTGCCTCAGCTGGAATCTGGGATGGGCTCCATAGTCTTTTAACTTTAACTTTTAAAACTGTCACAAAATGTAAAACCTCTCTAGTCCATGAGCAGGGTCCTCAGTGTTCTGCCTGCTGACGCTCCAGCAGGGAGGAGGCAGGAGGCCTGGGGAAGTGGGCCCCAGCGTGTGTGTCTGAAGTCATGGTCCTTTTCCAGGTGGTTTGTGTTAAGAGAGGCTTTCTGTTTGTTTTTATCTTCCAGTTTTCCTGCACTACTTCTACAGATGATGTGCAGCATTTGGAATCCAACAGAGACTACATTTTTTAATTCAGTCGAATCGCTATCTGTTAATACTTGTTATATGGATATTTTATAACAGAGTTTTTAATTAATAAAAAATTCATCAATAACATAGAGAAAATATTTTAGAATTTAATGTTTCTTCTATTTTTGTAAACTTAGGACTTTTCATTTATATAGTTACTTACTTTTTCATCTATGTTTAGATATCTCTGGAAGCAATTCATGTTCTTATATCTAATTTTAGTCTTTCAAATGAATGTACTGTAGTGCTTGTATGTATAAACCCTATGAACAAATACATGGCTTTTGTAAATTGTGCACATATTGTAATTATTACTATTTAACTTTTTAATGATAAGCCATCCCTGAAAAAATTAGTTTACTACACTTTTTTTTGTCTTTTTTGTTACTTTTTTTTTTTTTTTTTTGGTCTTTTTCCTTTTTATTGGTACCAGGGATCGAACTCACGACTGCCTGCTTCCAAGGCAGGTGCTTATGCCGCTGAGCTAAATCCCCAGCCCCTTTTTTTGTCTTTTTTGTTTTTATCGGCACTAGGGATCAAACTCAGGACTGCCTGCTTGCAAGGCAGGTGCTTATGCCACTGAGCTAAATCCCCAGCCCAGTTTACTACATTTATAAAATTGTTGTGACATAAGCAATGTGCATTATCCTTCACCTTGCTCTACATCAGTCATTTTAAAATCAGGAGACTTCATTCCAAGCAGTTGTCATATTTTGAGGTTGACTGACCTTAACTGTTCTTTTTTTAGCAAGAAATCAGAGTCTAATAAAGTCGGGACTGAACCGTTGCACCAGAGCACTATAGAACTTTCTTAGCACTGGTTCCCTTTTCCCCATCCTGTCTCTGGACTTGGGGAGCTTGTCTTCAGAGACTTGACCAGAAGCCATGAGCTTGGAGCTGCTCTCAGCAGGGCTGGAGTGGCCAGGGGTGGACCCCAGCCTGGCACCTTCCCTGCCTCTTTCCTGTGAGCATGTGGAAGGTGCCTCCAGCTATTCTTAGAGGACCAATCACTGAGCACTGTGCTCACATCTCACAGACATTGGTGCATGAGCAGATGAGAGCAGGAAACCCTGAAAATAAAGTTGTACAACTCTAACTAATCAAGGCCTTATTTTTCATATGTCAGTCACCTTTTTACATTGGTTTATAAACATGTTTCAACTAGTCATACATTTTTAGATTTTGATGACATAGCCATTTTGGATTGAACAAGTAGCAAAAGCAACTTGCTTTTCACTGGCATATTAAAAAGCCAGCAAGGAAGGAGTCAGATCAGGGTGCGTGTTATTTATTGTGCAACTGATACATGGGTAGAGGCAGCATGCCTTTTTAATTTAGTTTATGCAGGGGCTGGGGATTTAGCTCAGCGGCATAAGCGCCTGCCTTGCAAGCAGGCCATCGTGAGTTCGATACCTGGTACCGATAAAAACGAAAAAGACAAAAAAAAAAAAAAAAAGAAAGAAAAAAAATAATTTGGTTTATGCATACAATTCACTTGTACAATCCATATTACTGCCCTTTTTCTATTAATTTTTGTGGAATTTTCTGAGTATGTAACAAAGTATACAGTCATATACATATATATACTTTTGAACTATTTTAATCACAGTATTATTTATTGCTTTCTTTCAATAAAGTTCTGAATCATTTTTCACTGCCAATGAAGAGTTCTTTGAATAGGCCAAGATTTTGTTAAAAGTTAAGTGCGGCTGGAGTGTGTGTGTGTGTGTGTGTGTGTGTGTGTGTGTGTGTTACCAGACATCGAACTCATAACCTCATGCTTGCCAGGCAGGCACTCATGACACTGAGCTAAATCCCTGTCTCAGGCACAGCTGTTTTGCTTCCTGCTCCAGGCAGGTTCTCTGAAGGTAGTGTCGCTATGGAAATCACCGGACAGAAAGCTGGATGACATAAGTGTAGCTGGGCATGAGGCAAGAGAAGATGGGGTCCTGCTGAAGATTGGGCCTGGTTAGACCAGGGCGGGGAGGCGCCCCCAGCACAGTTGGGGGTGGGACACTGACAAGCTCAGCTTTGCCTGCTGTGTCAGACCCTTTGTTCATACAGTGTTACCCTCCTGTTTTCAAGTTTCACATGGCGCATCTCAGAGTAATCATGGGTTTGAGCTCTTGGTTCTCAGCCTTTTTCCTTGCAAACTGTGTGTTTTTGAATGGGGTTTGCAGAGCAGAGAGAAGAGGCCAGACTCTCCAGCGTTCCTTGGTGTGTCCCTGGGTGGTAGGTGAGTAGATGGTCCATATCCTAGTGCTATTGCTGCTGCTATTCTGGACACCCACATATCACTTAATGCATTTCAAATATCCCACATGCATTTATGTCTCATTTCCTGGCCTTAATTCCCTAGTGACAATGATTAGTTAGTGATTTTGCCTTCCAGTCATCTGTCGTATTTCATGAGGGAATTTACCCCAAGGATCCCAAGAGCCATGGCTGCTCGGGCCCTGGTACCCGACACTGGGACCCCACGGTGAGCCCTGCTTTCCCCACAAAAACAGGTCCCAGAGACTGAGACAACTTGTCTCCAGCTTCCAACCCCTAGCCTTCATTTTCCTGGTCCTCCTCCCAAATTCACATTTTGGGGGGGTGGTGTCAATGTTTCACTATCTTTTTCGTTTACCTTTAAAATTATGACTTTTTTTTTCTTTTGGAGACAGAGTCCACTATGCAGTTCAGGCTGGCCTTGACCTCACAGCTGTCCTCCCACCTCAGCCTCCCCAGTGCTGGAATTACAGGAGTGCGGCACCCTGCCCAGCTGTGTTTATGAGTTTTTATGGCTCTGCTGTAGTTCTAAAGTTTGCTACCTCTCATCGATGACTTTAGACCACTTACATTTAGTATTACTGATATTATTTGAGTACATCTACCATTTTATTTTTTATGCATTTGTATTTAGTCTATAGTGCCTTTCCTGAGTTCTTTTTTTTTTTTTTTCTGGTCTTTTTCGTTTTTATCGGTACCGGGGATCAAACTCACGACTGCCTGCTTGCAAGGCAGGCGCTTATGCCACTGAGCTAAACCCCCAGCCCCCTTTCCTGAGTTCTTTTGGGTGTTTTGGCCATTTTTATCGTTCCATTCAAATCCTCTTTCATTCAGCGTTTGGCTATGGAAAAACAAAGACTAAATCTCAGCCTCTGCCACAATAGCACGCTAATCGTGCAGTCTCACAACATGCAGGGGACATGCGTGTCACTCCACATGCACCGCACTGCCGAGGCCCGCCTTTGACAGAAACGCCAACCCGCGTTTAAGGTGGTTTCTTTGGCAATCCTCAGGCAGCTCTTGCTAGATGCCAGGCTGGTTCTGAGAACTTTCCAGGCTACCCAGAGTTGGTATTTGCCACTTTGAGTTGAGCATAAAGATCTTAACCCCATGCCAGCGCCTGTTAATGCATTTGTCATCATGTCAGAGGTACACAAATCAAAAGGTCCTCAGAAATGCCACAGTTTTCACTCTCAACCCTTGTACTTAGGAGGGAACTTCGGACGGAGAAGTCTGGTGTAGTGATCCACAGAGCACTCCCCTGTCACAGCAATGCCCCCGGCTTCCTTCCAGTGTATTTCCCTCTGCCCAGGAGCATCCTATGGGATTGCTGTTAGAGTCACTTTGCTGGCAATGACGTCCTTCAGTTTTTCTCCACCTGAGGACATCTTTCATTCACCTTTATTCCTAAACAATACCTTTATGGAAGATGGAATTTTTGGCTGGGCTTTATTTTTTTTCTTGTAGCACTTTAAAAATATCGTTCCACTTCATGATTTCTGATGAGAAATCTGCAGTCAGAGCTGGGCGTGGCGGGGTATGTCTGTAACCCCAACACTCAGGAAGGCTAAAGCAGGAAGGTCATTAAATCTGAGCCTGGTGTTGACAACTTAGTGACTTAGTGAAACCCTGTCTTTATTTGTTTAGTTATTTATTTATTTTATTTTTTAAAATGCAACCTTCAGGCTGGCCTTGAGCTCACTTTGTAGATCAGACTGGCTTTAAACTCACCAGAGATCCTCCTGGGTCAGCCTCCCAAGTGCTGAGATTAGAGGCATTCGCCACCATGCCTGGTGTTTCGAGGCCCTGTGTTTAGATTAAAAAAAAATTTTAAAAGGCTGGGCTATAGCTCAGTGTGAAGGCCCTGGGTTCAGTCTCCAGTAACCACACACACACACACACCACACACCACACCACACCAAAAGTTCTCTCTCTGTCTTTAGCTTTAGTAGTTTGGTTATGACAATTCCTGACCTTATCTTGTTTGGTAACTGAGCTTTTTGAATCTTCACCTGTGTCTTTCACCAAACATGGGGAGTTTTAACCATTTATTTCTGACCAAAATGTTCTCTAACTGTACTCTTTCCTCCTTCCTGACAGGAACGTTAGCTCCTTAGTATTGTACCACAGAGTCCTGAGCTCGTTTCTTCATTGTTTAAATCTCTTTCCTTTCTGTTGTTCAGACTGGGCCGTTTATATTGATCTGCCATTTACATTGTTATTGAGTCTACTGAGGTATTGGGTTTGCCACTGGATTTTGTCATTTCGGTTATTTTTTTATTTGCTTGGTACGGGGATCGAACCAGGACCCTGTGCTTGCCAGGCAGAGCCGTGCGGCTGAGCCAGATCTGTACTGTCATTTTGGCTGTTACACATTTCCTGCCTCTAAAATCTCAGCTTGGCTCTGCGTGTGATTCATCTGCTCCCGCTCTGAGGTGGTCTGTCTCTCTGTTCATCGCTCAGGAGTTTGCCCTTTCTTTTCTGGAGCTGCCTATAATAGCTGCTTTTGTGTCTCAATATCAACTGTTGTATCCTCTTGGAGCTGCTACCTCTTGATTTTCTTTTTGTCTTTTCCCTTTGGAGATACTGAGATTCTCGTTCAGCTCCAAAAGATTCAGTAACTTTGGCTTGTATCCAGACCTTAACAAATAATGTGTCATGGGACAGGATTCTTGTTCAAATCCTATTTGAATACTGATTTTCCACTTGCTTTAGCAGGAGGCCTGCTTGCTGGGGGCCAGGCTGCAGGTTTGTCTCTTCTCAGCTGTGGCTTCAAGGTCATTTCCATTTGTGAGGCTTTGCACTGCTGTCTTGGACTGAAGGCCAAACTGGAGCTCCGTAGCTCAGTTCTGAAATCCCTGGGTATTAGCACAGAGTCAGCTTTAGGGTAAGTTAGGTAATGACACAGGGAGACATAGTAGCCTTCTGTACTTGACTAGAGCAGAAACCACTCCAGCTTGTGATTCTGTGCAAGTACTTTTCTTGTCACCCACTCATTTGCCAATTTTCTGTCTCCCCATCTGCGCACCTCTCTAGGATGTGAGCTTCAGGGGAGCAGCAGCTTTGTGCCTGTGGGGAACCAGGACATCGCACCACCTTTAGGGCTGCCTGGCCCACTGAGCATGCTCTGTAGAGGTTCGGAGTGATTCAGTCTCCCCTCCCAGTCTTCAGGGCTCTGGAGACAGCCGCCTGTCTCTTTTCGACTCCTCTTCCTCAAACTCTTGCCCCGTCAACACACGGCTCTACACATCGCTCAGAAGCAATCTCCAGGTTGCCCAGTACCAAAGGGTCAGGCCCAGAGAAAGCCAGAGATACCTGGGGGAAGAGCAGACAGCACTATCTGTAACGGGGATTACTTCCATCGAATGTGTCAGAAAATCCCTTCTGATCCGCTGTGACAGGGAGAGAATTCATTGCTTTGGGTCAGTGAGAAATCCAGAGGTAATGCTGGCTCTGCGTGAGACTCGGTCTGCTGACTCAAATGTGCTCCCAAGGTGGGGAAGTTGCAGGTAGAGAAGGACATGAAGGTCGGTCCGTAGGGGCCCCAGACGTCCCCGACCCTGGCTCCCCTGCTAAGGAGCAGGACAAGCTCTCCCTCTCCATGTCTCCCTGGCTCTAGCCTGCTGCTGTCTCACAGATCAAATTCACCCAACTGTCAGATGGGGTAGGCGAGTGTAGCGGGGGTGGACTCAAGAGAGGCTGAGTGACGTGGTGTTTGTAGTGTGTATCACAGCTAGGGTGTGCATGAGCTTCAGGCTCCAAAGACGACAGCTGCCAGGAGAGAAGAGGGACTCTGTGGGCGAAGAGCTCAGAAAGCAGGAGCCGTGTGCATTGTGTGTATATGCGTGCGTGTGTGTGTGTGTGTGTGTGTGTGTGTGTGTGTGTTTCCCCATTTTGGCCTCCGTGAGAGGACAAAGGTCTGCCAATTTACTTATTGCTGGCAAAGCTGACATAAATGGGCAGGTGAAGGTCCAATCTGCTTTTCAGACACCCAACGCCACCACGTCCTACTGCACCTTGGTCCAGGCCACATCGCCCTGTCCTCAGCCTTGCCCCACGAAGTCCATCTGGCTGCTGTGTTCAGATCCCCGGCCTTCAGATGGCAGGTCTGGATTTGAGTCGCTCATTCTTGAGTTTCCCAGGAGGATGTGGGGATTCATCTAAAAATGTGTCTGAATCCACAGGTGCCCAGGGGCAGCTGGGGAGTCAGTCCACAGAGGACGAGTCTCGGTAGGAAGAACACTGGCACACTTTTGCTCTGCGTTGCCACAGTGCTACCCATTCCCTGGCCGTGGCACTGTTGGAACTTGAATGTAATGGCAGGACGCAGAGATGGAGGGGTCTTCGAGCCACCTGACTGTCCTGCACAGTGACA